TGTGAAGGGAAATCAAGTCACTTTGATGATGATTTGTTTTTTTTTAATTTTTTCAAGGAAATTGATCTATTTCGTCATGAATTGATTGATCACATGATTGTTGGTTGCTTAATGTCTAGTGGCAAATAGTTCATGCATGTATAGAACGATGTCATGAATTAAACAACCCGCGACAATGTATGAAGGGAATGCGCCACCAATATGCATATACATATTTTATTTTGTAATGCAATTCTGTAATTCAATGTTTACTTTTTTTGAGCTATATCTCGTCTCACAATTTTTGATATGTACCACCTTTTTGATAAGTATTTAGTATGACGATAAATTTTCACTTCTGTACTCGTACTGTGAACAATAAATTTATTAATTTTGTATAAAATGTTTACTTCCGTACTCCATGTACTCATAACAACAAAATTTTTATATTCAAATTTTCCTGTGTACGTTGTTTTATTTAACGCCATTTTGTCCCAGGTTAGAGTTGTCTTTTTGACACTGTTCCTACACCTTTCTTTTTATTAAAATTGTATTTATACAATGTCATAGATCGAATTTATTTGTTTAGTGTATGTTTACTTGTTTTTGTTTAAATGTCTTTTTGATCGAGTAAAGTCATTTAAATTTATATTTTATATTGTGTCTTTTTATGTTGTAATGTTACACTACTGTCTTAGTTAAAGTGGAGGTTGGCGCCTGTTAAAACTTTAAAACCCGCTGCATGTTTACGGCTTATAAGTGATCTGAAAATCTCATAAAACATACCACTTGAAATCGCATGCATCAATGATATTTACAAAGACCAACTAAAGAGACTTAAAATTTAAAAAGATTTTGGTATGTATGTTCATCCTTAACCAATGTAAATTGCCAAAAAAACAATCAGGAATAAAACGTAAAACGAGAAATAATGTAAAATGAAGAAATTAATAGATATCAATGAAATGAAAATTAAGAGAATTGTTCAAAAATCATACGCAAGCATCTTTTATAATGAACGTACAAAGAGTTCATTTTGCTAATGTTTTTTTGTATAAATGATAAATCGAGATAAATGGTTTTTTAAAGTAATTTTGGAGCAAGGTAGTAAACGAATACTCTTGTGTTTACACATATACGTAAGGTCTTATGTGTTATAACGGTAATAACCTGCTTGTCCTTTTAAAGTTTTTTGTTCTGCATTAAAAAAATATTTTTGTCATTTCACGAACAGCAGTGCTAATTCTGTTATGTCATCGGACACTATATAGGCCCATGTGTATTTTGTTAATGAGAACTGAACTCCTTATTCTGACAGATTGAACTGATATTGCAAAGGAAAACCTTGCATGCCTTGTAAACGCTTCAACTCAAAAATCGTATTTACTAGATGTTATTCGAAATCTGGACTATGTTTGGTCAGTTCTTATTATGATCCATTACTCAAACTTTCAAAATTCTCCTGGTAAAAAAACCGAACTATGGCAGCATATTCAGCTAGATAACCGTAACACGAAGAGAGATACTAGTAAGACATTTATCTATCATGTCTGGACCAAATTGCAAAACTGAGTTCTTGATTGACCATTTCCCTTTACCTTGAATGCTATTAATAAAATCAGACAAAATTCAGCAAAAATATTAATCTTAACGAGATCCATATTTGCTACCCTTTGAACAACATTGGCTGATGCATCTAAATTGAGGTATTGCCCGTGAGTCAATAACTTATATGTTTTGTTGTTTAAACACTTTTAGAGCAATGGGACATTCACCATGTATCTACGGTGACTCTGATCTTTATTGTTATTGATTTTTTGTTCAAATACTGAAAGAGGCAAACAATAAAATCGAACAGTTAAACATGTTTAAGGCTGTCGAGTTCTGCATTTGGTATATGATTCGAAATCGTGTGATGATTTGTAAAATAGTAGTGACCCTTCAGTCGATATTATTTATAGCTTTTGTCAAATAACCCAAAATCCCCTAGACGCCTTCAATATTTATCTTAAGTTGCATATTGGTTATGCGAAAATTTTATCAATGCCTTTGATTGTTCATATTCGGCTTTGTTATAGATTTAATCAGAAACTCAAATAAAACAAAGTCAAACAACTTAGGAGAAAACGTTTAACTAACGAATCTATAGTTTTTTTTTTTAAATAAATCTAAAATCAAGGAATCAATTGTGATGGATCTTTGGCTAAAACATGTCAAATTCAATTCATTTTAGTGTTACGCTCACAATTATTCCTTGATAGATTTACATGCAAAACTTGCTTAATAAATGTAAACATATTCGGAAGTTGCGTTTAAACAGATATGACATTAGCAACATCGATTATCATCTTTAAAGAAGCTTGAAATACTCATGATATGCTCACACACTTGAGCTTATCTTGGTTTTAATGCATCATAATGCTCATTGATTTAAATTTCAGTGTTGTATTTCGTGTTCATTTTCATTTTTTCCGATTTTATGATGAGCAATATTGATCACAGTTTATTAAGTGAATTGTATAGGTTCATCTAATATGGTGGCATCAAGGTCAACTATCACGTAAACCAATTACAATTGTTCAATCAAAAACAATGGTCGTGCTAGCTCAATTTTCCACTGTTTAGTCCTATTCATACATATTACATCAATGATAAAATCAAACAAAAACAAATACACAGATGGATAAACACTAAGTATCTTGAATAGGTAAGAAAATAAGTTAAAAATCTAAACAAAGCAATTAAAAAATACTGTTTAAATGTCCGTGACTTAAACGACATACATGTAATTGTATCAAATTACACATCTTGTGAGCTGAACGATATTTATAGCAGAGTTGTAAAACATTCTACAAAATTTAGTTCCTAAATTAATTTTATATATTATTTCAATCGGCCCAATCACCGTTATCAGACTTTTTATCAATTAAAGAATGTTTTCGTTTACGCAACTATTTAAAACTTCGAATTACCGTCCATGAATACTAATTGTGCTTTTCTTTCTAATGTCAAATTTCACGAATATTAGGTTACTTATGTATGAATGCTTAAAATGGTATGATTACAATGTACGTATTCAATTCAAATTTTTTTTGTTTGGAAGTACAACTAGCGTAGGATATTTTTAAATCTTACTCATAATTGATTTAATATAGGTGGTGCTTCAAAATTATTAACCCTTTACTGCAGTGGCGTTATTATATATCACATCGGACATTGTATGAAAAGTCGAGAAATCGTTTGTATTAAAGCTTTTGTAACATCCACTAGTAGACAGTCGGGCTGTTGATCTACAGTCCGACCGTCTGTGTATTTCTATTTATTGTCTTTTGTCCTTAAAACTAAGGAATGTGCATTTGTGAAAGCCTTTTTACTTAGAAACATTCTGGAATGTCATATTGGCCTTTGATTCTTTAGAAAATTCAAAATAATTACGTGGATTTAATGCGTGGTCAGCAATGTACGTTTAACGTTGTATCCAAAATTTGAAACAGCCGACGCGGAGAGAAAAGAAAGACACAGACCATAAAGTTATTGCTTACCAATTTTTGAAAGCCATTTATAACAAATGCAAAAATGGTGTTAAACGAAATAATTAATAATCTATGCATTGGAGATTGCATTGAAATGTTGAAAAATAGCGTAAAAATAGTCACACTTATAAAGTGGATAAGTGAGGGGCATGCACATTTGAAATAATGATTGATGAAATAATTGGGGTTATCAAAATAAATTGTGATTTGATTCTATTGAGCTAGCGTTCAAAGTATCACCGACTTCAACAAGCCAGTAGGTAATGAAGGCGTTCTAATGACATAGTATTTGTATTTTGAAAAAGGCAATACATTTTCATCATGTTGCCATTAGCCCTAGAGAGATGAAAACGATACTCCTCACTGAAGAGTACCAACAACCAATACATGTAGACGTTTGAGTCAAAGCGGAATGATTGGACCAACGAATGGTCGCTCTGTTGAAGTCCGGCAAGTGACTCTGTTGAAGTCCGGCAAGTGACAATCTCCGGCGAACAGTGATGTCACTAATTGTTGGTACATGTCGACCAGTGGTGTGTTCGGGGCTGCCATTGCTGTTACAAAACGGTCACGTAGATTACGTACTGAAGTTACTAGCGGTCTATCGAATCTTGCTCAATCTATGGCTGTTCCATTTTATTTGAAACATCTCTGGAGGTGAGAAATGGTGCTTGCATTATAATTGCTCTCACAGATGTGTTTGCCTTTGAATTACCCAAGGCTCTGTTTGTTTGTTCAAGGTGAAGTCTTACTAGTCAAGTTAAATGATTTTAGACGAGTAGTTCTAGCGTAGAAGCGTTATTTTTCCGCAATGTAAAGTTTGATCAGCAGAAGAACAAGACACTGTCGACGACAAATTATCATAAGCAAGTATACATGTATAAAGGCAAAATATGAATAATGACATACAAAGATAAACAGACCCGTTCGATTTTCAATATTACAGGGTTCAATTGAATGGTAAATGTATAGCATGTATAGTGCATCAACAAAAAGGTAATAAACATTTATATTTGACAGATTTTTTTTCACATTGAACATTTCATTAATTGAGTTTCGCATTTCTTTTAATGGTCAATATATTTAAATACCTATAATTATGTTATTGATTACGACAATTCTTTTCACATGACATTATGTCAACCAAAATGAGCTCAAATATCTTATTGAACCAGAAACTTATTACACTGTTAAGCGATAATACCAGGCAAAAGGTGTACCTAAAAGTATTTTAGTATAGAATAGAGTGTTGTGGTAAATGTTTGTGTTGGTGGTTTAGATAAGTGTATTTTGAAGGTTTAACCAGTTTTATTATTGATAATTGTTAATAAATTTGAATTGCAAATCCCATCATATTTAAATCGACAACTAGGGAAATAACCTCAAATTAAAAAAAAACTAACCTTGAACAAAACAAAAAATTGTAAATAAGATTGTAAACAAATGTATTTCGTGGTTAAAATGAAATGAATAACCGGGCTTCAAGTTTTGGATACGACCCAAATAATCGCTATAGCTAGTTTATGGAAACATTACGAAGGTATGTATTTACGGTTAAATCTGAAATGCGTTTATATTACAGAATTACAAGGATATTTTTGTTCTATATTCATTTCATCTTTTATACTAAGGCAATGTGTGTAATTGATGAAAAAAACAAGAAAGTAGGAAAATTAATTGTTTAAAAGGAAATGGTAATGATGTAAAATTATTTGTCTATTTCTAGTAAATTCATACATATGATCTACATGCTACTATTAAGATAAATAATTAAATAGATTTAATAAGTTGAGAATGGGGCATAGGGGATTCGTTCTCGAAACCACACACAAAGCATTCGTACGGAAAGACCTCCTTACTGTTGTCAAATATATGCATGCTCATATTTATAAATGTAAATGATTAAAGCTTAAATTTAAGATTTAAACATCGTTATGATTAGATTTAAATAAATAATTTTTATTGTGTCTTGGACAGAAAATGTCTTCACATTACATGTCATTTGTGCGGAAAATAAAATCATGCACACAGCCCATACTAAGGTTCGAGACGAGATTATTTTAATTCAAATTGTCTGTATATACTCTAACACAAACAAAGCCCTAGTATTATCCTGCTACCTCTTTTGATGAGATTTTGCATTTAGCTCAGAGAGCTCAACAATATAATGCTTGATATGAGTACAAATAAGTTACCAAAACACAGTACAAGAACCCTGTTAAAATACAGAGATCTCCTTGTGAAAAGAATTGATACGTAGCCGATTAGATATATATCATCAAATGTAGAATTGAGAATCTTTTGTTGTAGGCTTACTTACCATACTATACTTCAACTAGGAATCAATATCAAATCTATAATAATGGACTTATGTTTCTAAGAAACTTTAACGATCTAAATGACTCAGTTACTCCACCTTATATTCAATTCAATGTAAAAAAATCAGAGGACATATATATATCAAACGGCACCGTCGACGACTTTTTTTAGTTGCGACAAGGAACAACACATGATATGTTCTTAAAAGTTTGCTTACCAAAAGCTACCATGACGATATAGCTACATGTACCAAACACAGAGTAAAACAAATTAACACAAACCTTTACCGTTTGAAAGAAGAAATTAATGCCTCTATTCCAATAAGTTTTACCTAAAGGGATTATGTTGAGCATCAACTATAACTTCCTACCGATTTAGTTTTACACGCAAATAACATTCAACGCCGCACCGATATGTCTTTCTTAAAACATTTTCAGTTTAAACATCACATAAATAGACACGACGCGTATGATGATGCCTTTCCGCTACTGAACCAGAACAGAAAATCCAGTCTGCACTAAATATTTTTGAGATAAATTGGTTTTATACATACTTAGCTTTCTAATGTTTGGATTTTAGCGTTCCTGATGAAATCCAGAAAAGCGTTCTATATGCACGAAACTGATCAAGTGTTATTTTCATTTTATAATCTCTAGGTTTTGAATTATGTTGAGCTCCTTTGTAATTTCCTGCCCAGAGGGGTCACATCTTAAAAACGTTGTTTAACAGTCTAATATTAAATGATCATTACTTTCTACACTGACGTCTGATTTAACTGAAGCATCATTAAACTTCTGCTGGTTTTTTTATATAAGTATACGAAATAATGGGTAGTTCAATGGTATCAAAATGGTAGGTATAAACAATTCGAATTGAAGAGTCAAAATATGTAATTAGATAAGTTGATTGATTGATTGTTGGTTGTTAAACGTCCAGTGGCAAATATTTCATGATATTTCGCGACGAGAACAATTTAACAATAAATACAATAATACAATAGGTAGGTCCTGTAATGGAGGCCGTCCGGGATGAAGGTCTGGGAAATTTGAACTACCACGGGGAAAATGAGGGAATATTGGATAGGGACAGAAATTTAACCTTGCAACTGCCCAACTACGGACCCCTCTAGGAGTTGTTGCAAGGGTTCTTTACGTGCAAAGAACGTGGCATCCTCTTCACACAAGACATTGGATTTAACGTCCCCATTCTGACCGGACGTGGCTGCAAACTTTTACATCCCGCACAGCCAAACGGACACCCCGCTTTGGCCAGGGTTGTACTGCCGGTCGGAGGAAGACCAATGACCGTAATTCTATTCCCCGGTCACACTTGGGGTTAATCATAATAATCTTTATTTACTAAAGTCAAAACAACTATAGGCATACAACATATAAACTACACACAGTATACATAGATAGCAGAAGGTAGTGTGACACATATTACAACAAGTTAGATCTTAATTTTTGTGCACGAAATATAAATTTACTCAAATTACATAATTCTCTAAGATTATTAGAACTCATTAATTGTATATATCTATACATAGAAGGTTTTTTTCCAATAATAAGGTTTAATGAAATAAGATCCAAACTGGATAAGTGGAACATTTTAAAATGTATCTCATCCTCAATGTCATTTTTACAAAAACTACAGAGTCTTTTACTTCTTGGAATTGCAGAATAACGTCCACATTCTATAGCTAAATCATGACTACTAAGTCTTATTTTGGTAATACATGTCTTATTAAAAAACTGGTATTGGTTTACATAAGCATGATAAGTAATATTGTAAACAAAAATTTTGAACCATATATCTATAACTTGAACATTTAACTAAATTACTCAATTGGCTGTCAAAATCTTGTTTCAGACAATCAACAAACGCTGTTTGATTATCAAGTAAAAAGTACTGGAGAGCTTACTATCTAAAAATAAACTTTGATTATACCAGATATTCCCTAAACCTATACTAAGCAGCTCATTTTTAGTAAAATTTGTCTTATTGTTTGGACATTTTTGCAAATCATCATATAAAAAACAGGAACAATATTTCAAAATACAGTTTGTGGTATATAGCAGCTTAAACCAGTATTTAAAAACTCTACATTTTCTGGTGTGCAATAATGGCAATCTACCTAGCTCATTGTACACCATGACATTACTAGTAGCGCTTTTTACTTTCATAATATTTTTATAATAGCCCAGATCTATCCTAGCTGGTGCCTTATGAGCTCCGCATATTTCACAGCCATAACAAAGTACGCTGTTAATATAAGTATCAAAAAGTGAAAGTAAAGTTACAAAATTCATATAAATATCTTTTATATTTCTCCTTAAGGCAAAAACAGCTTTTGTACCCTGTTCTGATAGTCTCTGCTGTAACAGATTATATTTGCCATTAAAATTTAACAATTAACCAAGATAACTAAACTTATTTACAACTTCCATTTCCTGGTTATTATAATACCATTTTTCATTGTCATGTAAATTTCCACCCTTTCTAAAAACAATAATTTTCGTTTTTGCTATATTAACACTAAGTGACCATTTGGAGGTATAATCGTACAAAGTATCAATAACGTTTGTTAACCAGATACAGTTTCTGAAAAAATAACCATATCGTCAGCGTACATTAATAAAAATAAGTTTAGTTCCTTTACCTCATAAGGAATAGAGTCACTATTTATAAAAGCCATTTCACAATCGTTGACATACATTGAAAAAAATATAGGTGATAGTACTTCACCTTGCATTAGACCTACTTCATTAGTAAAATAATCAGAATTAAACCCATCAACACTTACACAAGTACTGACATTAGAATACATTGCTTTGATTACCATTAAAAATTTACCTTGAATACCAATTTTTGATAGTTTATACCATAACATATATCTTTGAACAATTACAAAATCTTTCGTGTAGTCTACAAAACAACAATAAAAACGATTTTGGGCTGATAAAGATTTGAAAATTAATAATGTAAGAGCAAAAATAGCATCTACTGTACCCAGACCGGGACGAAAGCCGAACAGGGCATCGGTCACAATATCAAACGTTTCCGACCAGTCTATCAAACGTTGATTTAAAACGGACATAAATAACTTTCCAAAACTACTGACTAAACTAATACTTCTGTAGTTGTTCGGATCAAGCACATTACCCTTCTTGGATATAGGTATAAGTATTGCTTTAGCCCAATCAGTATGGAAAATTCCGGACTGTAAAAGTCCATAAAAAATGTACAGCAATACAGGCATGAACACTTCCTTGTATTCAATAAAGTATTCGTTAAGAATTCCATCAACTCCATGACTTTTATCCCGTTTTAGGTTACGAATAGCTTTCAAAATGTCATTTTCTGTAATTTCTCTATCCAGTTCCTCAAAGACGCATTCACCATTGGTGTTCCGCAATAAGCTGTCGTCAAATACAGCATCTGTGTCTGATGAGCACAATGACTTAAAATGTTCATGGAACAACTTTAATGGTACAGCATGTTTAGAAGACGCTTTCCTTTTAAATTTCTTGTAAAATAATTTAGGGTTTGTAAGTCTCATCATGTTAATCATGTTTCCCTTAGTGCGCATATATTCACGTTTCAAGCGACGTTCTAGTGTTTTATAATCCTTTATCACTTGGATTTAATTACTATGGTTAAATTGCGATTTTGATCTATTAAATATATTCAAACAGTTTATATAGCGGCGATAAAAGTCTTTACACTGGGCGTTGAACCAAGGTTTATCATCACAAATGTTAGATCTGCAAGATTTATAATAATTTGTCCTCTTTTTAAAAAATGGTGCCAAAATGTCATTTAACGTACTAGTGAATTCGGCCAACGAATTGTCGAGTAATTGCTGACCATCAAAGTCAACCGTTCACGACACAAATTTATCTTGTCCATATTAATACGTAAATACTCTCTACATTGTTCTTTTAATTCATCATTCCATATAAATTTATCCTGCGACAGATTCTTTCCGTTTTAACCATCCGAAAACCCTTCTGAATTTCGTTCGTTACACAGTAATAAAAGTTGTATATGTAAAATTGCGTGGTCGGAAAAATTAGACACACTAAGTTGACGCACTATCTGGAAAAGTGACACTGGGACTAGTAGGTAGTCTATAACGCTCATTCCATTCGCGCCACAAAATGTAAAACCATTAGCAAGACCATTTTTATGCCGTCCATTCAATATTCTCAATTAAATAGATTAAGTTAGATAAGCTGATATTTTTTGTTTGTTTATATAGTTGCCTTATCATTCGTGTTCACTTAAAGAGTGTACGAAAGAATAGCATTGTATCACATTCCTAGATGATAGCATGTAGCTCCTCAATAGGTATTTGACCAAGATTTCATAACAATTGATGTATCACTGTTTTTTTTTTTTATTATAGATAAGCACGTAAGATATCACAAAGTGTATAATGTGTTTATTTTATCGAATGCGATTACCACGTGTGTCATGATACCTATAATTACATTTCGTCCTCGTTTATCATCACTATGTATGATATTAACAGGGAAAATTTTAAATATGTTCCCTTCCATGATATTGTCATTTAGACCGTGGGGATAAATTGTCTATAGTTGTTTAATTCAAGGGAGTTCGTAAATTTTACGTTAATTTTCAAATTGTTAGTGTGATTGTCCTATCTGTGTCTGGGTGGTTTTGAGTGGTCGGTATAATGTGTTTGTGTTTTCCTAAATGTTTGCAGATAAAAGCTTTTCAATTCTTTGGGCTTTTGGAAGAGTATAAAAAGCATGTGGATATTTGTCAATATGTGATTAATTTTGAAGTTTTTCCTTTTTTTCATATCATAGTTATTGAAATTAAAAAAAAAAACAAGAAAAAATAGAAAATGGAAACGGTACTGAAAGTCAAAATATAGACTTGTTGAATAAGGATCACAAGTACATAATCAGTAAACAGGAATTCATTTAGTCGAAGAACTCTTATATAAACTGTCTTACATTGCAACATGAGTAAAAAAAGATAGCCATATACAGAGGAACTACAGACAATATAAGATCAGAGCTGTGTGCCAGAAGAGACCTTGATTGTCGAAATGCGCATTTGGTTCAGTAGAATTAGTGACTGAATACTAATGTTTTACAGTATTGGAACTTTGAATCGAACATTGTACGGGAAAAACTACAACATATAATCGGTTTTGTAAAACGCATAATCATATAATCATTGCAAGTAGCATACTAATTGTTTTCTTATTTTTGAAAGAGCCAAAACATCATTATTTTTTCGATATTGTTAATGTTGTTGTCTTAGATCAAGATACGTTTGTTTAGAATACAAATCTCAATAATATGTGCATGCATTGATGCACCTTTTACGATCTTAAATCATTTAATTCTATCTTTCAGAATGAATACGATGTACTGTAATATAGCAGTTGTTCTACTTATCATCACAGTTTCTGTTGTTGTGGTTGTATCATGTCCCAATAAGTGTACATGTAATACAATCATGCGAGGAGTTATTTTAAATTGCACTAACCAAGGACTTACTGTTATACCAAACATACCAAGTGATTCATATAAGATGTAATATATTTTCTCTTTTTCAGTCTTTCATCCATAAATGTGTAGTTGTAAATGTCAAATTACTTCAGACAAAATGAAAAATGATGATCATTTTTTCGCAATAAAAGTTAAGAAGAAACAGATCAATGAATTAAAATCGAAAAAAAGATAGATATACAATACCATGACCAAAAGAAAAGGCGAAAAAAAATTAGTTGTCCAATGGTTACATCTTGTTTTGGTGGGGGTTTGTATTGCTGATTCTTTATGTTTCCATGTAGTGTTTTGTGGATTTTTTATTTTTTTCTTATTTTCTTTGACTTATGAGATTTGAATGTCCCCTTGGTATCATCTGCCTCCTTTTTATAATACTAAAGATTAACTACCATAAGCCTGACCAAAAATATAAGAGGACCCATGTTCAACTGCCAGTGTCTTTGGTGAATAAAATGCAGAGTATACTGACGATGTACTGTTGCTTCTAAAATTCCTGATTTATAACTGTGGATACTGAAAGCTTTCCGAATTAGTCAAAAAAAAAACACGACTTTTTGGTCATTTGTAAATTTTAATATTGCTTTATTTATACCAAATTATGAGCCTGGTATCTTTTGTGAATTTTTACCACCACTGGGTCGATGATACTGCTGGTGTAAGTTTCGGGGATATCAAAAGCCTAGTAGTGAGCACTTTTGTGTTGACATGCATAATATACTATTAATATGTTCATTTCTCTGTAAATGTACTGTTTATAAAATGTTAAAATATTCGAAACACTTAGAATTTCTACCCCATGTATAGATTGACTTAACAATATTTGACACAAATTTTTGGAATATCCGATTTTTAAAGCTCTTTAACCTTGTGTTTGATTTTGCATGGCATCTTTTTTATTCGATAATCAATTTTGAGCCTCAAGAAGACAAAACGTGCGTCCTGTGTCCAAAATTTTAAGCCTGATATATTTATGAGTTTTTGCTAGTGGACGTCTCGTCATTGAGTGTCTCCCTAGACCAGTAGTCAGCACTTTTGAGTTGACATGGAGTATCATTGATATGTTCATTTTTCTGTAAATTTAATGTTGATAGAATGTTAAATTATTCGAAACACTAGGATTTTTCAACCACGGGTATATACTGGCAGAGCATTATTTGGCACATGTTTTTGAATTTTAGGCTTTTCAAATGGTCTTCAACTTTGTATTCGATTTGGAAGTCTGACTGTTCTGATGTGAGGGTCAATGATGAGTCTTATGTAAAAGGAACGCGCGTACAAAATTATAAGTCTGCTTTATATGAGATTGTATAGCAAAAATACTTTTGTTTTGCTTTTCAAAAATAAACATTGGTTCTGGTTGTTGTTTATTACTGTAAGTTATATCAGTTTTTTATTTAATTTTTTTTTAAAATCAAGCCGTTATTCATTCGGAATTCTGTTGGGAGTTTTTTTTTTTTTATAATCACTATATATATGAAGCTCCTGGCAGCTAGAGCATTATTCAGGAACTTAAACTCCGTTACAAAGTGATCAGGGTTAAAAGTGTTACCGTTGCTCTTGATCATATTAACTGAGAATAATTTATTATGAGTGACGCGTCAGTTTTTTTTTTCTTTCGTAATGACTGCAGATGTGGGGGTGGTGTCGTGTCAATTAGTTTCAGGCGAAGATTGTTTTTGGTTCTACTAGATAGATTTTCTGTACTAAGACTGCAAACTGGAGCACTCCTGTCGGGAAGCCATATCTAATCTTAGTAAAAATTTACACATTTTTTAACATATCAAAGGACTCCAACCAAAACAAAAAATGTTGTTTGATTAAATTTAAAAAAAAGAAATTTAAAAATATTTGTGTCCCCTACATTTCTTCCTCCTGCAAAACAAAAATAAATTAGAGAAATATAAAAAATGACATAGATTACATTTATTTCTCCATAATTGAATTCAATCACTATCATTTTATGAATATAAAACTCTATTCAAGAACATAATCACTCTACACATATTTATTTCAATCACGAAACTTGATATAAATAAGGAATTCGAGAATGAGAATCCGTTTTCTTTCGTTCAAAATTAACCAGAAACCGAATCACATATACTAGATAATATTTATTTCAGTTTTCCAAGTAAAGGTGCAGTTCCTGTCTTAAAATTATTGCCCGTAAAAATAAACAAAAAATGCTGAAAATTTCTACATCAGTTCGAGGCATTGCTTTGTCTTTGCTATGACTAAGGGCTGTAATCTTATCGGTAGTCTTTTAAAATATAATTGTTAGTCAAGCTGATAACAACATTTCGAATATAGTAAACACAAAAATATTGGCACAAGTTACTGGTTGGTTGGTGTCTGTATTGATGTCTTTCTACATATAGGCCAAATCGTGTGAAAAACAAAATGTTATAAAGTAAATAAAATTGAGAATTGAAATGGGGAATGTGTCAAAGAGACAACAACCCGACCATAGAGCAGACAACAGCCGAAGGCCACCAATGGGTTTTTAACGCCTAAGACCTTTTTGCCATAATCTTCTTTGAATTTGAAAATTCAACTTACACGTTTAATTCCCCGTTCATACCAAAACGGAAAAAGTATCGCACAATACTATTTATAGTAATTGTACCCACACTTGCTATACCTTTAACTTATTTTATTGACAATGAAATATAATTAAAGATTTGAATTTCGAGGGCAAAAATTCATTAACGATACTATAACAAAATGAGGGTCATGAGTAGATCTCTTTTAATTCGGTCTATTTAATTTATATAAAAGCTTTTCTTTCCATGGTTCAGTATGTTTGTAATTTGAAATCTATTATATTTGTATTTAATATGATCCTTAAGTATTCATAATTGTTGTGATTGGGCAAATCATTTAAAATCCTTTGGAAATAAATAAATCAAAGCCGTTGTATTTCGTTTATCGCATGCTGTATACAATAAGATGTATAGAGATCCCGTATACAGGTATTAACATTGTCCATCATTATACAATCTTTACGAAGTAAGTATTATACTGTTTTACCCGTGTTCTTCCACATATTTTAATTGCCGTCACATTTTCATCAAGGTACTGTATAATATTTGCTTTTTTCGCATTGTATTTATTTTAACGAAATTTGCGATAGGTGCAATTTTGTGAAAACAAATATGCAAATACACACTTAATTTACATGCACAAAAAACACTTGAAGAAATATTGCCCGTATTTGTAACTGTACATGCATGTAAACGATTTTACTGACATCACCTCAACTAAACTTTTACACGCGAAATTCATAGACATTTCCAAATTCCTGAAAACAATTACAGTATACAAATCTGGTCTTTCTGAAATTTACAGAAAGCTATCTCTAAATATACAATGATAGAGACGTACTTTTACATCCATTACCCATTCCTGTTGAAAGAATACTTTTAGCGGATGAATCATTAGTGAAAAGTGGCTCACAGTTGATTTAAATACGTTTTACAATTCCTAGACTTGTACTCATTTAGATAATATATATACATTTATTTTTATGTTTACAGTGACCTTACCAGAAATCAATTCACAAACATAAAGAGATTTACGTTTTTCAACATTCCTGAACTTAATTTCTTGTAAGTAAACAGATACGTGGGATATAATATCTTATTAATGGCATCAATGTGATGGTTTTTATTCAAGTAAGTTTTATAACTAAAAATTGTCGATTTTATAATACTCATTTGTGTTATGTTAAGCTCGCATAAACTCAGACATATGCATTTAACATTGAAAAACATAATTACCTATCAGAAATGCAGTTCATATATGCATTCAACATTTGAAATAACAAATAATACATCGGCTTTCATTTTAGTAAGGAACTTGGTTCACCAACACTAAACTGATTCATCGAAATTATCAGGAAGAATATATGATATCGATACTATTAACGTTTTACGTCATCATTACGATATGGTTGACCAATACGTGTTTTAACTCACTAGCTACATGTGTTAGCATTATTGGATCTTTAATTACCAGATTAGTCGTCTGACTTGTGAATTTACCAATTGAGTCATATTCTCGATTGTGAAATGATGACTAAGTGTAGATTCGTATTGCAGAAGACGTTTATTCTGCTGATGCACTAGTCCTCCACTTTTTGCTGTTCATGTAATTTCCTTGCGTTTTTGGTTTGAACATAGATTTGTCTCTTCTTGGTGGATTTCACATCGATAAACTACTGTACTTACATAAGGTACCGTCGTTGGACGTGCGCCTCCTTGTTATCCAATCGATCCGAATTAAACGTATAAAAAAATGTTGTGATTACATCGACCGAATTGTTTATAATACTAGTTCGAGTAGCGAATAACACACATTGCAGTGTTCAAGGTCAAGCTTTTGTCAGACGGTTCATAACATCTGCACACTAAACCGTTTAATCTGTACTGATTGATATTGTTGAAATTTTTGTATTGTGATCTGCGCATTTGGTGGATAGTTTTTCGCAACAGCAATCATTGCAAATCTCCCGTTTCATACAGATAATCCAATTGACAAGAACACTTAGATGAAGCTTATTTTCTTACCAAAAATTCCATCAAAACCTGCAAATGACAGTTGGTAGATAACAAATTAAGGCGACAGAAGTTTAATAATGTTCAAATCCCGTAAAACGACTATGGCATTGTATGGAGAGACAAATCAATGTTACACAAAAAAACCTGAGGGAATCGTATGAACCTTTAATTAGGCGAGACCAGACGCGTCTCCTGCTATGCATTCACCACACGCCATATTATTAATCAACACTCAGTCAAAATGCCACAACCGGGAATAGGACACAACAGATAAAATGAAAGATCAGACAAACCTAGTGGTATCTAAATATAACCAGTTCGTGATATTGACCATAAAACGAATGAAATGTCGATTTCAGTGGTTCTTCCTTATAACATATTGTTAAACAGTTTTTGTGTAAGGATCGCATAATAATTCAGTATTTTTCAAGAGTGTGTTTTCCGAACAGAAATTCCTTAACATACATGTTCTCCCACGATTTCTGATTGATGGCTGTTTAATATCGTATTAAGAAATCTAGCATGTTAGTAAGCGTAGTGATAACAATGTGACACATTGTCAAATGATTCTTCAGTGAATCTAAATAAATTCAATCTGCTTTCTGGCAAAAACGGGCATATTATCGAATGGCATCGTACAGTCTTAACTAAAGTTTCTATACAATATGACATTCTCTGAATCGTTCTGTGTCTACATGTACTAGATTTTGAATGATTAAACTGGAATATCAAATATCGGTCATTCAACTTTACGGAAGCGCATAAATAAAAGAACGTATCACGTTACGACAAAATACAACCATTGGGAGGGTTTTATCTGAAAAAAGACATATGCATTTGTAGTGGGGAAACAATAGTTTAAAGATCTTAAACCTCGTCTGTGAACCGAATGAGATGATCACAATAGCTCTACACTACTTTGCTGCAGGTTGGGAAAAGCAGTTTTAGTTTGCAATGTTCAAAACTCACGATTTGAGCAAAAAGATACAAATAGAGGTAAACACAAACTATAGGAATTGCATAAACTCCAAAAGAAGCGTCTTCTCCTATGCAGGCGTTAATTACCAGTCATGCGAATCCCTTCCACCAAATCTCACGATTTGGAATATGCCACAATTGGTAAATTTACAAATCAGACATATATAAACTCATCATAGATACAAGGATTAAAATTTTGTGCGTCATATTTTGGTAACTAAAGATCTTAAACTGTGGTCAACCAATTTGTGGTGAACATGAAAGGTGTGTCGTCGATACGTTTAAAGCACATATAAAGATATATAGAACACATTTGATTTTTCGACATGCAGTGGGCTCATTAAATCTATATTATCAATATTTCAGAATTAATCTGTTGTATTGTTTTCTTCTGAATAGTCGACTGTTTTCAATTTTCTCCTATGATAGACTTATCTATCATATTATAAAATTTTGAATAATTCTATGTTTCTTTTTTTAAAAGATACCTTAATGGAAATGAACTGGAAAACATCGAGGAAAAGTCGTTTGTTCTATTAGATAGGTTACGACATTTGTAAGTTACAATTAATTTATTATATTTGTTAATTGTTCTACGTTATAAAAAACGCGATAGCTACCGATCATATAATTTTGCTTTATAAAATACATAAGAATGTTGAATTTCTTATGTCGAATACAGTCGATCAGATAAAAGATGCGAAGAGAAAATTTAAAACAAGTAGAAGCATTAAAAATACATGATATTGAAAAATAACCAAAAAAAAAACCCACAGAAATCCAAGAAATTGAGCTATAAGAACCAAAACGAATATATGCAATGGGAAATCAATTCGCCAAAACTATCGCCCTTAAGCACTGACTTATGTTATTTGTCAATATTATTTGCAAATTGCTATAAAGTTTTGGTTCGCTAGAAATTATATCTTTACAACTTAAAACAAAACACAAAATTAAATAAAACAATTCTGGTAAATAATTTGTGACACCAACATGTAATAATAAACAAATTATCATTTTTAAATCGGATATTTTCCTTTAAATATCGCAGACGTAGAGAGCACAGGCTCATCTAATTTTGTGTGAAGTATTACTAAATTTGTTGAAAATGTTGCGATGCAAATATTTTTTTTATTATTTTCAATTACATCGAATTATGTCATATCCGCTGTTTAGTCCCTTGAACACGTCAATTCCCGCTATATGTATACTACACATACCTAACTGAAACATCGAGAAAACTTGAAAAACATTATCAGAAAAACAAGAAGATCTTTTCTCTTTTATGTGCCTTTGTATATTCTTTACCTTTACTGTTAAGTCCATTTTTTGGTAATATCATTGTGGCGTTGCTCGGTATTTATACATCCCGCCATTGTGTTATTGTGCTATGGTTATTTTTTATATTCTTGTTTTTAATTTTTGCTTATGTGCATTGTCTATAGAGTGTCTATAAACCAGTTTGTTTTTCTATGTTGATTTATGTGTTTGTTTTATGGTAATTACAACACAATGTTGACTGCTGTGGCCCAATTTTTACCTGTTATATGTCTGTTTGTTTTGCTCACACATTGTTGTCGATATAATGGAATTCTATGCGACTATCATACAAGTGAGAGATTTAGCTAGCTACAAAACCCGGTTTAATTCACCATTTTCTACATAAGAAAATGTCTGTACCAAGTCAGGAATATGACAGTTGTTTTTCATTCGTTTGGTGTGTTTGAGCTTTTGATTTAGCCATTTGATAAGGGACTTTCTGTTTTGAATTTTCCTTGGAGTTTGGTAATTTTGTTATTTTATTTTTTTCCAAAAACGTGCTACAATTTCTTTTATCAGATATTGATTGTTTTGTTAAACTATTTTCATTTATTTTGTAACCTCCATAGATACTAATTTTGTATTTCGTTACCACAAATAAGCAAATAAAAACATCAATTTTATAATGAAAGTTAATGTTAGAATAATAATACCGAATCGCTTGCAAATCTGATTGCTGAAAATAGGTAGATTTAAAAGAATTGACGAAGTACTACAAGAACACTCTAATATCTTGGTTAATTACCATATATTTTTTTCAAGCATATTTGTGTTCGAATTTGTTTAATCAATATGCAGCAAAGATTTTTAATGTCGATGTAACAAGCTTTTTATTGACGTTATTCATAAAATCAGACATACTACTCTGATATGTATATATTTCAAATGAAAGATGGAAGTTTCGAATTCATTTTACTCTACATCTGATTGTTAATTTTTTTCTTTTGTTTTCTCGATAACGGTTGTCCCAATGTCTACAAGGAATTTAGGTTTTGTTGTAGGGCAGGTAATTTCAAGTATCCTTCTCGTTGCTCATAACAAGAATAATTTAATGATAAATTGCATACGGTAATGTTAAAGTGGAGGATAATTTGAAAAGTGGAGTGATATCAATCATGCATTTATTTTCAATGAACCCCACTTATCACGCCAATATATCTATCGTGTTCCATTATTGTATTAAGTTAAGCAATTTGCACCTGATTTTTACAGTTAGTTCTTATTTTGTTTTCATTCTTGAAGGACATGTAACAGCATAAATCCACGTCATTTGATCTAGTAGTACGTTGTCTTATTGGCAATCAAACCATATCTTCTTATTTTTATAAGCGTGAATTAGTTTTTGAACTATATTCCTTTGTAATTTGGGAGCACTTGTTCTCACTGGTTTTGTAAATTTGAAAACATTGCAAAACACTCTAAAAAATTCGTTTAAATTTCTAATATCGATCTTCTAAAATCAAACTTTGTATATTTCCTAAACCTTTTTGGTGTAATATGTTGGAATTTTCGGTTTTTAATGCTTTTCAGCTTCGAATATGAATCGAGTGCAACTGGTAGGTCGTATGTAGACAAAAATCGCTTCTGACTGGCTAAACTACCAGCCAGTTTCTAAAATCACTAGGTCGTCGCCACTGCTGATGAACGTTTCGTCCCCGAGGGTATCATCAACCTAGTGGTCAATACACATGATACATTTGTGTTTCCAAACAAATAACGTTGATGCAGAATTTATTTGCTGAAAGTTTACTGTTTAAAAAATATTGAATTATTTGCAACACTAAGGTTTTTATACCCTAGACATATATTGGATAAGCCGTATTTGGCAATTTTTCGGTTTTTAATGCTCTCCAACATTCTATATGATATGGCCTTTCAACTCACGAGCCATATAGTAATATAATCCGCAATTCATTTGAAAATATGCTACAGTAATTTGCAAAAAACGTAAAAATGAATTTTAAAAATTTGTTAGAGTCAAAAACTTTCATTCAAACAACTAAATCTTAAATTCATTTTCGTTTATGATATTAATTTCGAATTAACAGTTTGAAATTTGTGCCAAATTACAATCGGCTAAAACTCTAAAAACAAAAAGTGTTGCTTTTTTCACAATGTGAACATTTCTCAACGTAACAACACATAATCTAGAATTAAATTTTACGGATATTACAATCAGGAACAGGGGATATAGGCGCGTTATATTACTAACGTTTCAAATTGAAGTGTATGTTGATATTTAATGAAACCTGCCAGTAGTGTCCATATTTGTACTTTTCCTTGTAGTAGCTGGTCATATTTCGACCCTGCTTTCCCAATTGTGAAAGTTCCATTTTTTTGTAGCAACATTCCAGCAGCGCCTGCATACGGAGTATATATCTCTCAGTTGATACGATACTCCAGGGCTTGTATTTCCTATCATGATTTCCTTGATAGAGGGTTGCTGCTCACAAGGAAGCTATTAAACCAAGAGTACCAATTGGGGAAGCTGAACTCATCCCTTCGTAAATTTTACGGACGCCATCACGAATTGGTTGACCATTACGGAATATCCGTTTCACTGATGATAGCGGATATATTCCTAATGTCGTAACTACAATCCCGTCCCCTTTTCCCGAATGTGACCTACCGATTTAGACTTATTACCGGATTTGTACTAACATGAGCAACACGATAGGTGCCACATGTGGAGCAGGATCTGCTTAACCTTCCGGAGCACCAGGGATCACCCCCAGTTTTTGGTGGGGTTCGTTTTGCTCAGACTTATGAGTTTGAATTTTACACTAGTAATAATAATGTTACCCCTATAGTCAGGATCTGAGAACCATGTATTGATGTTGATTGTTGTGGTGTCAGGCGAATGATGTCCTCTGTTGTACTGTCTAATACTGTTGGTTGTTCCTATTATCGTTTTTATGTAACAATAATCATAACTGTACGATACAGACGCATACATCTTTGAACTGATTGTCCGTTCCATTTTTTATTTTTTTACATTAACGTAGACAAATTGTATTATTTCACTAGAGATTGTTTTCCAAGAACAATCTCCCCACGGAAATGATTAATAAATCATACGGAATATCGACGTACATGTAATAACTGCACATATTCTTATATTCTTGTTCACTCTTGTCAGTATAATAAATATAAAGCATTTATATCAGTTAATGTAGTTTGCCTAATTTTACCTTAGATATTTCCATGTCAAGTAAGAACCGTAATAGTGAAAGTTGTATCGCCTCATTTTCTGGTCAATACCTCAACGAACATTGGTTAATATCCCAGATCGTTTAATAGCTACAACAAACAATAACATTATAATGATATAAAAAAGAATTATACCTCGCAGTTAAAGCAATGACTGAAGTGCGTTCTTGTTTACTTAGACATGTATAGATTGAAATGCTGCAGTTACTATATACACCTTTAGATCTCCATTGTCAACACCTGATAAATATTAATGGAATGACTTTTTTTTAGAATTATTATTATTATTTCAAGAATATGAAGTTGAAAAACCAATGCAGCAGATCGTTTGTCATTGTAGATATCTTCACGATAACAGCCTGACCACGATAAGCCAAGGACTTTTTAGAGACTTACCAGATTTGTATATCTTGTAAGTTTTGAAACTTTATACGTATACAATTATCAATCTTATATACAAGCATTTATGACAAAGGCTTTAATACGACATATCAATTTACCCAGATAAAAAAATGTCAGTGGTAAGAATATTACCTCAAATGACTGGATGTTCTGAGACTTCCGTATCATTCAGAGATTTCACGTAACAATTATTTATTTGAAGGAATGTAAGTTTTTAAAGTTGTACATATTGATAAATAACGATTGTCCTTAACTCAGCATTGATATTCCTCTGTTGCAACATCATTAGTCAAGGTATAAACTTCCAGGCATGGTAATGAAATCCATAAAAGTAAAGAGTGCACCAACAGGAAAGGTTGCGACAAGATTGTATAACTTTTGACCAAGTTGTTCCTTTTAAGTGAATTTATTTGGACTATAAGCCATTCACGCTTTCAAGTAATAATACATCCTTGGTTTAAAAGTTTGGTTTTAGCATTCCTGATGAAGGTTCAATCTCAATATGTGCACTTTAAAACTTTGAACTTCACTTAAAAGCGATGTAGGAGGTGTATTGCTCATTACACAGTTGTTTTTTTAGACTTACCAGATTTGTATATCTTGTATATTATAATGACCAAAAAAAAAAAATCCTTTCACCTTTAAGCGATAAATTTATTTTATTTTTGACAAATAAATATTGATATCTAAAGAATTTTTTTTTCTTTTAGCGCAATTTTATCATTTTTGAAAAATTTTATAAGAGTAACGATTTCCTGTAAATATTGCGCAATAACATTAAAATGTGTATTTGATTTACAATCATTGTATTCTGTTCTATTATGTTCATATAATTTTTCGAAAAAAAAAAACTATCATGATACAAGAACGAGCAAAGGGCATTTTGTTTAATTCTTGCGAAATTGAGGAATGTTCATTCTTGACCTTTGACCATGATTTAACAAAAATTGCACCGTACAAATTATTGACGACCGTACATAACAGAATATACAGATAATAAGCTTTCGAATGATATATGATATAGTCGTACATGTATGTTAGGTGGGTGCATTAAAGTCATTACCTAAGCGTCTTTTTGAAAAATGCCACTTGCCTATTCGGGCACAACTCTTTTGTATTATTTTATAGTCCTTGGTCAATGGCACTACTTTTTCATCTCAGAAATCAGTGAATCGGCACTGACATGATTTATAATACACTTTTGTTTTTTTAATTTTCTGTTAATAAAATTATGAATCAGTTAAAAACTATAGGTATGATAACGTTCAATCTCCATGAGAAAAAAAAGGCCGCATGCACTTAGGGAAACCGGACACTAAAACTTCGATTAAATTATGCTCCTATCTAAAGGAAAATATCATTACAGTGGTGTAAATAAGTTCTTATTCAATCAGAAAAAAACTATATGTATTCGACATAACCGAAAAGCTACAACAAAAGGACAGGTCATAACAAAAAGGATGCATGTATTTGAAATCAACTGATAATAATAACTTTTTGGAAATATTATAGGGATGCTGGATGCTGGTAACTATGTTAAGATACGTGTAACTTTATAAGGAGTAAAATATTGCGTGAATATTCAAATTGACTATAAGGGAGGAGTTGCGCAAAAGGCCCTTGTGGCCTACAAAAAAGGAGTATTACAAAACTAGGTGATTTTTACATTCAGAATAATCGTTCAGTTTGTATCATGAATTTCTATGACGATTTTATAGTCGAAAAATAGCATAATTATAATTTTCTACCAAAAAGATACACAAATGCATGTTTTCACACACTACCTAAATATTTAAAAATAGGTGTTTATATAAAAAAAACAAACACAAAAACAATAAAGAGCTAGCTTATTTTTTTAAAGATTAAACTTCAAACCGATATATATATATAAAACCGCAAACATTTATTCAAAGCTAGCCGAACTACAATAAGTTTTTCCTCAGATTTGGTCCTCAAACAAATAACTATGGTTTCTGAAATTTACCTTTCCCATCGTTTTATTATGAATGCATAACCCTTGTAATATATTTTTTTCAGGCGTTTACAAAACAATAAGATATCTGTTATTGAACCATATGCGTTTACCAATTTGCCTGATTTGGGTAGAGTGTAAGTATATATTTTCTAATGATCATTTATTAATTAGATCACAAATGGAAAAGTAGACGCAGTATTGTTCTATAGTCTATTCAATTAGTCCAAAATATCAAAGGCAAATACTAGTTATATAAATTGATTTGTATACCGCGAAAGATTTTTTTTAACTGCAACCAAGAGAATGAGACAGGTTTTTTTTTCTAAACTGTCTATAAACTATAAGTACACAAAATGGGTATTTGAACTTTGATGAATAGTTGTCTCATTGGCAATCTCACCACATCTCTTGATTTTTATAATAATCATAGTCAAATCCTTCATTTTCATTTTGACATTAGTAGCTTCAGATAACATGTAGAATGTAAAAGGCATAGAATATTTGTCTTACTTTTGTAAATTTTACTTTAAAGTTATTACGACTGCTATGCCACGCACATATCTTTTTATAGGTTTCTAGAATACAACAGTATATCACTGATCTCGGAATACTCTTTTGTTAATGTGTCCAAATTATACATCCTGTAAGTATATTAGTTTGAATAAAACAAACGAATTCCTTATTTGTTAGATGAAAACAATCTGCTATTGGATCGTTTTGTGTGTACCTACTTAAAACAATGAGGATATCGTAAGTGCATACCAATTTCGTCTCATACGTGGGATGCTACGATAAAGAATAGTGTTGATATTAAATTAATATGCACTAGACCAAAACTTGTCAGGTGAAAATACAGTGAACTCAATTATCAAAAATGTATGTATCGTAAAGCAAGTTGTTTGTCAACTTAAACCCACAAAACTTTTTCGACGGCTCTAATCCATTGTCACGTTGACTATTTCTGTTCCTCTCCGTATGCCGGAGTGTCACAAACTCTAAAATACAAACTTCAAATTGCCCAAAACACAACTGTTAGATTCAAAAAGAAATTTGGTCCAAGGTACATGTATAGTGTCCGTCAACCGGAACTTTCAAATGTTGTTTTTAAACATTGAAAATAGAGTGAAGCAATCAAGATTAGAACACGCATATACGATCTATAACAAACATTTTCCCGCATATTTCAGAGAAAACATTTTAAACGTCGAAGAACAACACTGATATAACACTAGGTCACGCCAATTCAATTGTGTTTTTCCCAAAATTAATAGAGTAGGCTCAACATCTTTTTTCTTTAATACTCTTAAAAGTTGGAATTTGCTTCCAAATAATATGACCAGGGCGCATTTAAAGCTGCAGGTAAACAACATCTTGAAACTAAGTAAATGTGTAACTTAACTCTTGACTAAAATTCAATTAATGCCTCCTTGCCTCCTCTTAATTTCTTTAAAGACCACATTGGAAATAAGCGGAAACGCTGTCATGATTTATCCTTGAAAGATTATCAACTTGAGAGTGCATTTTAGCATTACCTTATTTGTTTTATTTATTTCATATCTTTAATTATGCATATTTTTAAACTGTACTTGTACATAGTTGATATCAATTCCTACGTGAATTTTATCTAACACTCCGTTCTACCTCTGTTTTGAAGATATTTTGGGCTTATCTGATTTTGTTGTAAAGATACACACCTTTAAAACTTTGTCAGCAGAATTACCTGTGGTTGGTGTAATAATTCCCAGATTAGAAAGTAAAACGGAGAGTTGTCAATCATTGAAACCGAAGCGTACAAGAGAATCAGCGACTCTTTTCACAAAAAATCTTACGATAAAAATTGATAGTAAGTTAAACTGAAATGTGTATGACTTACGAGTATTTTTACTCTTAAGATTTTTTGTGAAAAGAGCTTCTGTATTTTAACTAGATTATGCATTAAGTTATCATTCAGAAGAAGTGCATCACTATATGACGCTGAGTATGTAGTATACAATATCACTCAGTATAGATAGAACATCAAGATATATATATAACTGAAATCTCAAAAGTCCTGAATGTCATTTAGACTGGTCGCTACACATCCATTGTGCATCTACTGTAATATTTTACGGACAATTATATTCTAAATCATCTTTTTGGAATTCTATGAAGAATGTAGGGAGTATTCATATAGAACTGGTGTATGTTATTGATCAAATGAAATGATAATTAGTGAATATAACCAAGCAAAGTACCTGATCCTGTGTTTTAGAATCTTAGCATGCAAATTACATTGTTCTTTGAATTCAACTCGTTATTCATCTGATAATATTTCTAAAACGAAAAGGGTGACATAATATATCTTGGCGGTATCCTTTCACAAATGACAAAGACTTCACCAATCTTAATATCCATATATAGAATGTATTTTAAAACATCTTATTATAGACAAGTCTCATATACTTCATTTAAAATGTCCAGATTTTCATTTCAATTCATTACAAAATTGAGGTTTTTATCATGTGTATGTACATGTACATGTACAGTGATTCATAATATATGTACCTTTTTTGCATCATGGATTTAGAAAATATGAATACTATGTAATCATAATACAAACTTTTGAAAGTCTATAATTTTATGTAATTACAACTGTATTGAGTAGATGTTGTCTGACATAAATTAAATGAAGTCCCCAAACAATAATATGATTGCAAAGAACGATATGTTTTCGCCTATAACTAAACAAGGCAACATGTCACATACAACATTATCTATTGACAGTCATCAGTTAATTTTCATATTCCTTTTTTTTTAAAGAATATGTCAGATAATTCAACATGAAAACAATTTTCTTTTCTTTTTCTACATAATATCCTTGCATGCATGTCTGATGCCATATGTGCAATTTTTCTAAATATGTCCATTTCGCATGATCACAAATCCCCCAAACGTGTCCGACAATTGTTATCCAACGAAACGGGTACACTTTAAGACGCCAAAACTTCTCAAAACTTTTAGCGCTTCTATTTCCACTCGGACGTCAGCAATGTCTTATGTAGTCGCAATTAAGGAATTTAATTGAAAAATTTGCTGGAGTCCACTATAAAATAAAAACCGCTATCATAGAACATGAACGCAAAGGTAGGTTGGGAAAATTCCCAAAGAAATAACGAAAATTAAAAAAAATGGAGACCTCGTACAATAGCTGAGATGGTACAAAAGTCACAGAAAGGATAATTAAAAAATTTATACAATTTACACAGTGAAAATGTTAATGTTAGTCAAAGAAAATGCTGGACAAAAGAAGATTGATTGATTGATTGTTGGTTGCTTAACGAAAGAAGAAGACAAAGGAAGAAACAACAGCCTAACTTTTCAAATCCAATTAAATGAAGCACTATTGAAATATTTGTTGCATGCACTGGCATGAGTGGGAATTATTCTTTACACAGGACAGTATACATTCTATCTAAATTTAGCCTCAATTGGGCCTTTTTCTTCCTTATTAGGACACATTTTACACTGGACATGCTTCTTATTTTCCCACATATTGACATACTACATAAACATCAACAAATTAAACCAGACAGTTTCCATTATGATAGATTATGTCTTGTGAAATGCTCAATTGCTACATTTAGGGCATTACACAGCCAAAAAGGCAAATATTTTAGTACAAACTATTTGTCGTGACTTGAATTTTGGTGTTTCCAATTGAATCAATCATTGCTAAAGTTTAAACTATACAAAAGAACTAGAGTTTGTTGCATTTTAAACAATGTGACTAATATTGGATTCCTTGTATACAGTTTTATATCAGTACCTATCACTTTAACTCATCACTTTTCTCAACAGTATTGGTCGCGGTAAATATTTTTTTTATTCCTGGTGATAAAAATGAAAGTACAAATAAAAGCTTAAAAATAGCGCAATATAACTGAAATCTAATTGATTGTTATTGTACTTGCTATTTTCAGTAAAGGGAAAACGGTAAATAGTTTGTTTTCTTGGTGACAAAAAACAAAAGTACGAATAAAAGCTTAAAAGTAGTGCAATAAAACTTTTTCCCTCTATTGGCGACAAAACTAACATTTTGCAAATTTACCACTTTTTATAATAAAAACCTGGACCAAACAGTTATGTGTGATATTTGTTCTTTATTATTCTGTTTTAGAAACTAAAGTCAAATGGGGGCATTGCCATCTTCGAACGGAGCTTGTTTATAATATCTATGGCCATCGTCACTTTTATCAGATTTATGAAAATAAGGAAGCCTTTTCGAATTTTTCTCAAACATATTTCCCTGCGTTTCAAAATATATATTGTAAATAAGCACATTGCAGTTATTCATAAACATAATAAATGAATAAAACAAAATATAGTATACCCTTATATCCAATCACAGTGCTTCAAAGTTGACTTCCTCTAGCTGCCCTTGATACATAAAAATGCAATCTTAAAGCCTGAAAAATTTAATACTACTTTTTTCCCTATAACATCTTCATTATTTCTATGTGATAACGAAAAACTTTTTAATAACGATAGACACTTAAGGCGTTTTTAAATATCGATATGATTAGAAGTTCATTTTGTTAGTAAAGCCCTGGCCTTGAAAACATTTAATGTCGGCTTTTTAACAAAACAAAACGAAGGTCCCAAGGACTGTTATAATATCGACTGGATTTATTGTTAATCATCATATACTTTTTATAACAGTGGACACGTTTGGGCGTTTTTTTTTTTAAGTATGGACACGATTGAACGTTCATAAAAGGACATCTTTTGGCGTCCTTCATCAACATAGACGTGTTTGGGAGTTCAGTGACGTCACATTGTTCAGGATTTAAATACATGATTATAAATACGATGTGGTATAATTGCCAATGACACAACTCTCCACCGGAAATCATTTAACGTAGAAGGTAACAACTAAGGGTCATGTTACGACCTTCAACAATGAGCAAAACCCATACCGGCTACGAGGTCCCGAAATGACATATATAAAATAATTCCCTTTTACGTTATTATATCGTTATTTTAATATGCTAATGGGGAATAATAAAATGAAATTTTGCACAGTTTATTTTTACATATAAACATACAAAATCTAAATTATATAATAAGAAAAAATTAACTTCAGCAAAATAATATCACCTTCGCCTTCGTGAGCAGCCTTCAGGTGGTGAAATAATAATATCCTTGGCGACACTGCCATTAATAACGTTGATGACTTTGATATAATATGAAGGTGAAACACATCTTACGAGTTCAAATAGATCCGTTTAGTTTCGATCGAAGGACAAAATTAAGTGTAATGCCTTTTGTGAGCGGTTGTATGAGTTTGATGGGGTTTGTTTTCTTCTGTAGAACATGTAAATATTCAAACTTTCCTACATCGACATATTTTATTCGCTATGTATAATCATTTGCAAATCTAATGTGTCAAAAAAAAAGAAAAGTCAAACTGGAAAATTAATACATGTTGTTCTTGTCGTTACCATCTAAACAATTCGCCATCATCGGTACACTTTAAAGACATTATAAACGTTGCCATTGTTGTACAGGCTTCAGAATGGAACTAGAATCGTCAGAAATAGTATTTGAGGTCAAAGTAAAGCCTTTTGTTCAAAGACATGCAATTTCTTTCCTTTAATACAAATCAAAAGTTTCCATAAAAAAAAGACGGATACATTGTCATGTTAACACACTCAAAGTCTATAGCACCGTCCAATGAAAATCCGCGTATCAAATGCATATCATTAGAACAATAATTGTGAGATATTACAAATGACTGCATTTTATTTGTGTTCGTGTTACACAGCTACTATAGGGAAAACGGTAGTATTGAATCTGCCATAGGCGACAACACTAACATTTTCTAAATTTACCACTTTTTATAATAAAAACCTGGACAAAACAGTAATGTGTGGCATTAGTACTTTATTATTTTGTTTTAGAAATTGAAGTCAAATAGTTTAATGACCATCTTCCAACGGAGTTTGTTTATGGTATCCATACCAACCGTCATTTTACATCAAATTTATGAAAATTTGGAAGTCTTTTCGAATAATTCTCAAGAAAATGTTTGAATAGGTTTCAAACTTTATATTGTTAATATACACACTGCAGTTATTTATAGATAAATACAAAAATATATTTTACCCTTACATCCAATCACAGCGCTCCTAAGTTAACTTCCTTCACCTGCCTTGGGTACACAAAAGGTCAACCTAAAGCCGGGAAAATGTAATACTACTTTTTTCCCTTTAGTACAAGCAATATTGGTGTATATATTAAGGTACATGTAAAGTATTAGTTAAGATGCAAATAAACTGTACATCTGTAAAGTTGTATAAAAAATGTAAACCAGTTGAGATGCATTTAAACTCCATCTGTGAAAATGTACCTAAACTGTATATCTGTAAAGATGTATAAACACAGTCAATCTATATTTTTACAAATGTACAGTGTATATGCATCTTTAAATATGTGTAAATTAATATATAGATCTTAACAAATGCACAGTCAGTCAGTCTATCTCAACAGATGTAAAGTTCATATACATCTTTAAAAATGTATAGTTAATATGCATCTTCACATATGTACATCAATAATGCTTGTACTGTACAGCTGTGTACATACATAAAAAACGATGATTTCAAAACGCCTTGTAATCCCACATACAAAAACATATCATTTGACAAGGATGAGATTTTGGCGAATCATAAGTCCTTCATGGCTTAAATGAATATTACATTGAACAGCAAATCGAAGGACTTACCTTGTTTGTATTGGATACCTAAGCTTCACAAAATTCTGTACAAACAACGGTACATTGCCGGCTCATTTGCATGTTCAACTAAAGAATTGTCCATTAGATTGACAAAAATTCTGTCCGCAGTGAAAGATGGTCTTCCGAAATACTGTAAAACTGTTTACTCGCGTAGTGGTATTAACCATATGTGGATTTTAAAAAACTCTAAAGAATTTCTGGATAATTTTAAATCTCGATCTTTTTCTGAAATCAATTCTATCAAAACTTTTGATTTTTCAACCCTTTATACCACCATTCCCCATGTGAAATTGAAAAATCGTCTAAATGAATAATCCACAATGCTTTTCAACATAAAAATGGTAGCATACGCTATACATTTATTACTTTGGGATACCATACGGCATATTTTGTTAATAGTGAACAAAAAGGTAAAACATGCTACACAGAGGAAGAAGTGATCAGTATGCTGGAGTTTCTTATTGACAACATATTTGTTGAATTTGGAGGTAGACTTTTTCAACAAATTGTCGGCAGTCCTATTGAAACGAACTGTGCGCCTCTCCTTGCCGACCTCTTCTTATTTTCATACGAGTCGGAGTTCCTTCAGACACTTGTCAAAAACAAGAAGATCAAAGAAGTCAGGTCATTTAATTTCAATTTCAGATATATATTGATGATGTTCTTTCCGTTAACATTCCAAACGTTTCTGATTGGGTTCCATTAATATATCCCCCAGAACTAGAAATTAAAGAAACAACAGGCACGGCTTCCTCCGCCTCATTTTTAGACTAATACCTCGAATTTGACATACACGGTCATCTCAGGACCAGAATCTATGACAAACGAGACGATTTTAATTTTGAAATTATCAATTTCCCCTACCTTGGTAGCAATATACCAACTTCACCTGCATATGGGATATACATTTCCCAACTTATTCGGTATTCAAGCGTTTGCAGCTGCTACTCAGACTTTGCAAAACGTCACCAGTGTCTGAGCAGAAAGTTGATGAACCAGGGGTATGTCAAAGAACCTTTCGCATTTTTTCAAAAAAAAAGTTCATCGGAAGGTACCAAGACCTTGTTGATAAATATTCCGTATCAACTTCACAAATAATACACGATGGTCTTGAAGTATAGATTCTGGGTACTGATGTTGTTTATCATCTTAATAACGTGTTATAGTATTCTTTTATTTGTCTTTTTGAATATTACTTTTACTGTTTATTCTATTATTGGTGTTATTCATTTGACGTGGCTCGGTACTTATACATCCCGTCATTGTGTTATTGTGCTATGGTAAATTTTTGTATTCTTGTCTTTCATTTTGCTTATGGGCTTTGTCTATATGCCTTTTTGTGTTTATTTGTTACATATTTGTTTTTTTTTCAAAGTGATTAAGATTATAACACAATGTTGACTGTTGTACCCCTATTTTGACATTTTTACCTATTATGTCTGTTTGTTTTGTTCACACATCATTGTAAATATAATGGAATGTTATGCGACTGTCATACAAGTGAGAGGTTTAGCTAGCTATAAAACCAGGTTTAATCCACCATTTTCTACATTAGAAAATGCCTTTACCAAGTCAGGAATATGACAGTTGTTATCCATTCGTTTGATGTGTTTGAGCTTTTGATTTTGCCATTTGATTAGGGACTTTCCGTTTTGAATTTTCCTCGGAGTTCGGTATTTTTATGATTTTACTTTTTCCTGTGTTCGTGAGCTTAAGTTTTCAGTTTATTGTTGTGATTAAGTTTATGCTAACACATGGCGTTTATTATGTACTATTAGTTGATATTGAAACTTCCATGATTGAAAAAAAATAATATTAAGCAAAATTAACTTTATATTAACCTCTTAATTATTATACACAAACAGAAACCTTGAATTAGTCTGCAATTGCCAGAACTTTCCCTTTATGACCTGGGTAAAACAAGTATCGAGGTATGATGTGACCTGTTCAGATCGGAACCATGTTGAACTATCAAATCTTCATATGTGCCATTTTAAAGATTGTGACAGTAGGTAATTGTATAAATTTCATTTGAGTGTATGACATTATCATATTATGAATTTGCATCTTCATCTTTAATTTACCTTAAAAGTATACTTAAGGTGATAATGGACATTTTTTGTAACGTACTGTCATCCAAGCATGATATAACATCTGTGTTCTATAAAAATTGTAACTTAAAGTTAGTGGAGTTCTTTTGATAATGATATATAATCACACCGGACATTCAAACATCTAAAGTCCAGAACCTTGAATATACTGGAAAATTTTTGACTTTGACCAAATGAGAGTAAGTGGCATTTTTTTATATATCTATTTGTATCGACAGAGTTTTCAACAACAAAAAAGAGGTAGAAGATATAGATCCAAAGGGAACAAGTCATAAGTCGAAGACAAACTGACAACGTTTTGGCAAAAACAAAAAACGACGATAAGGCAAATCAAATATTACGAACTTGAAGAGCATTGATAACCGATAATTTCGAATAATTGTGCCAAAAAAGCCAAGGCGATCTATAACTGGAGCTAGAAAAACCTTAGAGTTTGAATATTTCGAACACAATCTACTATACCGATAAAGAGGTATTGCAATTTTTTAAATGAAATCATTGTGATCATTCTGATAGGGCCCGCTATTAATGGCTAGTAAATATTTTTTTCTGCTTTTACCTCGTCATTCAGTGCTTATCCGTAACAGTCTCTGTTAAATCTGTTTAAAGGTTTAGAGCCTCAAATTCTGTATACAGACTTGTTTATTGATTAATATAAAAATAGGGAGATGTGGTATGATTACCAATGACACAACTCTCCACCAGAGACGAATTAAAAGTAGAAGTTATCAACAATAGGTCACTAAACGGCCTTCAACAATGCACAAAACTCATGCGCAAGGCAAGCTATAAAAGGCCACGACGATGTGACAAATGTAAACAGTTCATACGACAAAACCAAAGGCCTGATTTATTTATAAAGTAATAATGAAAACAATATAATATTCAGCAACAAAAGACAACCACTGAATTACAGGCTCCCGACTTGGGATAGGCACATACAGAATGTCTTGAGTTTAAACATATTTGAAGGTGCCCACCCCTTCCAACATGAGATAGTGGTGTATCTGCATAACATAAGAACAAACTATAAAAAAACAGTTGAAAATGGCTGAACTCATCAGAACGATCCAAGGTAAATGAATAATTAATAAAAACTAAAACACAAGGTACAGATCTGAGAGTACTCGCAGTTACTGAAAGATAGTTTAATGCCAAGCACAACTAATAAAAACATCATGTTTCTAAGACTTATATATCAATCAGTACACACTTATGGAATCTTTTTTTTTAAATGTCTAATGTAGCGTCCTGTAGATCAAAGAAAGTTGCAGGAAAAATGCATTTCAGAATAACTAGTCTGTAGAAAATTAGGGTCAGTCGAGCAGTAAATTATTTTGTAACATATCAAACGTATTTTGGACTTTTTTGTTCTGAACGTTGGAAGAGAATCTGTAACAAATTCAGAATTATTAATTCTCGGATCTATATTTGGTTTCGGTTGTGGCAACAAACTCCTTTATTTCGGAAAGATTTTTAAATCCCACTAAATTTGAAAAAAAACTGGGTCGGAATCCCACAGATAACACAGTCTAAGATATTACAAATTGGCCCCATATTATAAGTTATTACTTTGCAAATATCAAATACAGTCGTATTTTAACATCTTTTTGAAAATTTTGTTTTCAATGGTTTCCAATACCTTAGCTGTATTTGGCAAGACTTAAGGTCTTTTGGGTCCTCAATGTAGAAAAATCATGCGTCTGGCGTGCACAATTTTAATCCTGGAACCTATGATGAGTTTATTTCCAACTTCGTATTTGATTTAGCATTTTGCTTTCATTTATGCACCGCTGGTGAGTATTATGTAGCAACATCTTGTGTATTAACATTGTTTTGGTATAAGTGTGTATAACACACAGCAAGAATCTACTGCCTCAGAATTTCCAACAGGAATAACTGCAGGTAAATATAAACGCTTTTTTGTAATTATTAATTGTATGCAAATTTGAAGGTGTTCTGGACTAATTTGAACAACAAGTCGTAACGAATTGTCTTTCAATTATTAAATACCAGGACTGAATGAACATTGATAAAACTTGTATTTGACACAAAATTTCATACATTTTTGTTAAAGATGCTTTCAAACTTCGAATTCGCATTGAATTTGGCTATCTAACTGCTTTGATTTGAGCACAACTGGTGTTTCTAAAGTAAAATATCGACGAGACGCTTGGTATACCAATTTGTAAGCCTGGTATTTTTTATGATTTTTTAAAAAATATTCATGAAAATTATCATTAAAACCTTTTTGAATTCCTTTGATCCAACAGCTCAGTTGAATGATATGCAGACAGAATCTACTACCTTAGAAGTTACTACAGAAACAACAACATGTAAATATCCACATTATTGTTTTATATCTAAATATTGGTGTGTGCAAATTTGAAGATGGTCTCATATACTTTGCGGTGGTTTTCCAGTTTGCTTACAGTCCTGGAACTTAATGTTACGTGTTAAATGTCCTTATAATAATCTCTCGTGGCAACAGTACACAAAAAAACAACATAGAAAAGTAAAGACTGTGCAAAAAAAAAACAACGATAATAATGTATTGAAATAACCAACAATGCTACATTTTGTTCTTTCAATGACAAAATGTTGATATAAAGATATTAAATTATCTTAACCTCACACATTACATTAACTCCGGATTATTTGAATCCATTAGACTGAATCTGTTTGGTTCATTCTTTTTGATACAAAAAATAACATCACACCCTTCCTCGAGTGCGTTCGTTTGTATTCAGTCATACCTTCTTAAGAGACCATCTGTATAAGCAAAACCTTTGTTATTAGACTACTAATGTAAGGTCCCTCTGTAGAGCAATTCATATAGACTGAACATGTATTTAAAGACCACCTGTATTATGAGACCACTTCTTTTGCTCTCCCATAGATCGTCTCTTCAAACATGTTTCACTGTAATTGATTCCTATATTAAATTATACAGTACTTGTTTTAGTGTGTGCGATGTTTTGATTTAAATTCTTTACATCAGATCTTGTTCCTTTTAGAGTTCACGCGATTTAATCAGTTTCCGTGTGTTACCTTGATCAGGTTGATTTGTCTCTTCTTAATCGATTTACGAGATTTGAGCTTCGGTAAACTACTGTGGCCTTAACATGCTTAACTTATATGTAAGTATTTTTGGTATTGCAGATGCTGTTATATTAGGATCCGTTGGTGGAATTGTAGGATTGTCAGTAATAGTTGTAGTCGTTATTCTGTTCATGAAGTAAGTTATAATTAAGTCATGTCTGTATATCATGTAAACGTGTTGTCTTATATATAATGTAAAACGGATAACACAATAACAAAAACAGAAACGGCAGAAAGAAAATTAACTAACCTCAAAATACTTCACAGTTAACTTAAGAATTGAGTAAGGTGAACCCAACCAAACATCGTAATGAACTCAGCAACTCCGACAGGGTCAGCAGATCATTGTCAATGAAGTACTACTGTGTAACCACCTTTCCTATTTATTATTAGTAGATATGTATACTAGTAAGTTAGCGGCAATAATTGAAATTAAGCTTTAAGCTTGAATCCTAGGCAGTAAGTATATTGCCTAAATTATGTCTAGTATTACTTTTAAATTCTAAGATTTGAGCTTAAATCTTTAAAAATATGTCCAGGCATCAATCTTACTGCCTAAAATGTATATCCAATTCCATACTTCAAAGTTAAAATAAATCTGGTACACAGTAACATGATAAGAACGCAAGTTTAAAATGGCCATTACCTGAAATTTAACCCATTTCTCTGACGTCATTGTATTGTTCTTACAGTGGATTATTTTTTAAGAATCCACTGACCACTTCGTTAACTTATTTTATAACTTTAAACTTTTAACTTACGATTTTTTATCCTCTCAAAAACGAGTGGCATATGAAAGGTTCGAACATGCGCGTATTTTCTTCATAATCAGTAGAGTCTTCAGTCTATGCATGATACCACTATACCACGAGTGCTCACATAAATCAATATTTAAATAACACTCTTAAAGCGCACAACTGTCAATACATGTCAATAAACTGTATTTCTATCTCAGAGATAATTTGCTTTTGTTATCTAATAAAATATATATACTATGTCTGGATTTGTTCATGTTCTTTTCAAATTTATTTATATCACGTCAACATTGAACGGACTCTAATTTGAATAAAGTGTGATATATAAGCTACGACCGTAAAACTACTTCTTTGACTGTAAAACCAGAAACAAAATCATCGCCTTTAAATGAAAATGAAGTATATATATACCTCTAAGATTAAAACTATTTTTATCGAGAAAAAAATTACAATGAAAAAATTTCATTCCGGATACAAGGTTCGCTCTTTGCACTGTTAATATCACCGTTATGACATTCGTTACCAACGACTAGACGATCACGGCTATGAACAGCTTGATGGTAAGGTTATGAAATCAAGATAATTATTCATTGTACATCCGTAGCAAGATCAATTCTGATGGGGATTCAGAATGCGTACCTCAGATAAAACTAGTTTATTGACCGGTGGACGACATATGCCAAATGTAATAACTTTAAAATAATCGTAACTTAATGAAACGGAAACAGTTTAAACAGATTTAAATATAATTGTTCAATTCAAATCGTAAGCACATAATTTTATACTTTAGGAAAGCAATATGAATTTGAGCATTATGAAATGGCAGATTTATGGCATCTACGATATCAATATTTTTTTGACTTAGAACGGCTTTTTTTTTTTATCTTTATTAAAATCTATCATCACATTACATAAATAAAACCATTAAAATGTGACTTAGAACGGCTTAACGGTGTTTAGTCTGCAATAAACCATAACACTTTGCTAAATATTATATATATAAATTTTGAAGGTTCTAAATTTTGGTAATTAAACATTTTTAACTTTTCAAAACAAGATAAATAAATTCTGTATATTAATATATGTCTTTTTGAATAAATTAAATATACCAAAATCTATTCAATATTAATAATTTGTAATGATTAAACATTAAATGAAATATGTATATACAAAACTAAAATCTGGTGTTAAAAAGGGGAGCTAACACCCCATTTAAGTTATCTTAAACTTATGTTAACTTGTCAAATGTCTAATTATAGATGCGAACCGTGTGGATATAATCATTTCCAGCTATTATTGAATACAAAAGACAAAATACAAAACTATTTTTATGAAATATCGTTGATTCATTGTCAAAACGTAAAACAGACAGTCGTTTCAAAAGAAATGGGTTAAGCTAGAGAATTGATAAGAAGTAGTGGATTCGGAAACGATAATCAACTTGCGACTAAAGTCGCTCGTTGATTATCGTTTACGAATCCACTACTTCTTATCAATTCTCTACTACATAATCATCATATAGGGCATGACAAAAATTGTGAAAACATCAACTGAATTGAAAGCTGCTTCTCACGCATATTATACGTTAGAGCTGTGTTGTTGTGTAATTTTGTTACACCATTAGAAATTTATAGCTTTCATTTGATCCATTAAATCAACCTGTCTTTTACGGTTACACTCTTTGGGTGAAATCGGTTTAACTACAACCCCTTCTCTATTTGACTTTCCTTACTGTAAGAATTTTACAGTGTGAAAGAAATAGTTCAATTGAATCACGGGAAATGTTTGCATAACCACTATCAACTTGTTTAGTGTTACGGTCCCTGTCGCCATGACCTGTTTCTTTATGTGTCTTTTTTTTTTAAATAACAACAGTTCCTCTAAAAACAAAACAATTTCTTTCATCATTCTTCTTAATTGAGTTATCAATCTTTCAAAGTCTCTAGTGGTAATAATGTCTTACTTTTTCAAATTTTAATAGTCTATAATTACCTAATGTCGCTAACAAATACATGTATGTGGATACAAAAATCATATTACGGCTATTAAAGGCCAGACAACACCATTAAGTTAAACACATTATATTTGTTCTCAGTATTAAGGATGTTCGCTCCTCTTGTTTTTTACTTTTTGTCAAATATTCTGTATCCTCCTGTTTTATCCATGTAGTGCCATTTAAAAATTTTGACCGCTAACCAGCACCTTTCTTTTCATAATTGTATTACATATAGTTTGAAAAGCCATGGCCGTATTTGAAAATTGTTATTTTTTCATAGTTTTTGAAAGAAAAAAGGTGCCAATGGTATATGTATGAAAAGTCTAGAGAGAATCATTTCCCGACAAATTTTCAATGGCTTATATCTCGAAAACAAGGACACGGACCCTTCATTTTTGTCTGCTTTTTCGGGTCTATTATTTATATACTATCAATTTATAAGTTATAGTCTTTTAAAAAGCTTGTTATTTTGAAACAGAGTAGCTAACATCCTTAAATAGACAATTAATACGACATCGTGTATCTTATATGATTTAAACTTTATTAGTATTGTTTCATGCAAATAACTACATTTTTCTCGACTTTAATTGCTTAAAAGTGGGATTGTTTGGCTCATATTGTTTTGCTCCTTCTGAATCTGCAGGAATTATATTCATAATTTTCACAAAATGTTATGGTTTATAATTTTTTTAATACACCACGCAGATGTTGTCTGTATAGCCAAGTTATGGCGTAATCGGTATCAAGCATAGAATGATGATCAAATCGGTCCTAGGATGGTCTTTAACTTATAGTAAGGGGAGAGTTTTTTGCTCCAAGTGTAAGTGCTCGCTGTAACTCTGGCCTAAAAAAAAACAGCAAACATTGAACTGTTCCTTTGATTATCGTGGGTTTTGTTTATGTCAGAGTAGTTATGTTTTGTTATGAACTGACATCCCGTAGCATTTCTGTTCATTGTCGCAAATTGAATAATAACAATCATCAAACCAAACAATGACAATTAACACAGTGGTAGTACCGAGTTGATTTATAAATATTTGTTCGTCCGCCTTCCCTCAGTAATTACACCGCTATGATTTATCATCGAATTGGTTCTTGAAATACTACGGGTGCCTTTAGAATAAAATTAACTGCCTACCTGTAGAACACCTGACTTTGACGGGTTCATTTAATTCAATTTCGAGTTGAAGTGTTGTATGCCTGTTATTTTTTTGTTGCTCATGACGTTGTCTTATTTTGTTTCCCTAATCGTTTTGAGTGTCATACTTTGTATATTGCTCTTTTTTGTATTGGAAACAGAAACTCCTTAAAGTTACAAATATGATGAACCACTCTGCAATTGCAGTAGTATTGGATCAGCAGAGACTAAACAATAATTATAGCTATAAAATAATTGGTTTAAGCGTCAACTCGTTTTTCATTTATTGTTTTACAGGCGAACTTCAATTCTAAAGAAATTCAAGGACATTCCAAAACAAAAAGGTTCTGCATTGTATGAAAATGAAATTCTATTGGATCATCAAGTCTATCAGGATCTGACTCTGGTCAGGAGAGACAATGATTCACCATATGATGCCATACACAATTTCATTACATAAAAAGGATAAGCTTTCAAGAAAATATCAGAATACATTCATTTTACGCTACATTGATCTTTTCAATTTAGACTATATCATACATACGGAAATAACGAGCAGATGTTTATATAAGACGGATCAATTATCTCTTCCTTTTATTGGATCTGGTAGTAAAGCTGGTAATAAGAATTCATACCAAATAACAATACAAACTTTAGATCGAAAAAAGTGTTTCTATAAATGTAGCAGCATTGTTTAAACTGGTGACTCATAATTTACACGATACAATTAAATGACTAGAAAAATAAATGAGTAAAAACGAGTACTACATGCATCAGAAATTTGCATAGATGGTATATTTATCATTTTGTATATAGATATCAAGTGTTTGAAAATGTTTATAACATATCATATTTTATTTATAGCACATTATATAATTATCAGCCTCTCCAACCCATAAAAAGAATAAAAAAACCAAGAAAGCAAAAATAAAAACAAAAACAAACAAAATGAGATAATGGTGTTTTCAATAAACAGTCCTTTTATTTAATGTACCCTTAGGTACAAGTATGATTCGTGCAATTGCATGTCAGTTCTTTGCATTTCAATTACCTTAAAACCTGTATTTCTTATTGACCTAATATGAAGAATACTTTAATTACCAATATTGTCTATATGTTGAATATATGTAAAAACATAGTCCTCTAGAGGAGTTTGTTGTCGGACTTTACAACAACATATAAGCTTCAAGATTATTGCCATCACATTGTAATACTATATAATAGTAATTGCATTTACCTTTCTAGAGCACCTTAAAACACTCTATATATTTTTCGAGTTTGTGTTGCTTAATTCTTAGTATAATGTGAAGTAGATTCATTATTGTTGCTTATATTTCCATATAATTTCTAGAACCTTCGATTGAAATTATCTTGGACGTATCATTTTACTTCGAAACGTTATAAAGTTAAGGATGGTGTACCGATCATTTTTATAATTTACCTGTTCTGCATCTTTTCCAATAGCTGACGTATTTACAGTCTTATGTATAGGTAAACCGTACCGTCGATCTCTTTACATGTTTAAGTTCCAATTAATAAAAATGCAGGTTGGTATTCGAATCATTTGTCATTATGTGGACGAATCACACATCCAACAAAGACTTTTTATATGACCTTGGCTGTTGACGGTATAATATTTTAAAGATAATAAAAAAAAATCATTAAAGATACTAAGCTTATCTGAATAATTGTTCAGAGTAATAAAAATGAAGGATGATGCTTCAAACTTTTTCCACATTGTGTGAAAATCAATAAATAATCATATTTAGCACTTTTTTTTTACTTTTGATATTTGTACATGCTCGTGTTAGAACTTATTAATCTTCTTTAAAATGCGATTTTAAACCAGTTAATCAGTTTCCAGCTGCATGATATGTTATATAAGTACTAAATTTATTTCCAAAATGTCCTATTCTTAAATTTAATAAAAATGGGTAAAATTCTTGAATGTTTTGATATCGTTTTTCTCACATGTATATAAATAAATAAACGTTCAATGATAAAACTGACAAATAGATAAAAGCACTGCTACTTAAGTAGAAAATAACAAATATAAGAAATGGTAAAATTTGAAAAATATTTCAATTTATTCATCATTAATATCACTGTACAGTTTTATTTGTTTAATCGATATATAACTATCAGCTCAGTTTGAGCTTTAATTCAATAAAATAGTATTTACACAAAAGCTTTATATTGGTTTTTTTTCGTCAAATCACAGAATAAAATTAAGAAAAAGCAGAGCCAACATAGCAATCTTGGTTCTGTTTGTTTTACGTAGACCTACTTATTCGGGTACAGGAATTACTAAATATGTTTATAGGAAGATCTTACGAATATGTTTAACTTTCAAAATATGCTGAATATAGTGGCTATTTTGTAACAAGTGATATCTGAAAGATTTGAGATCATTGATACCAGGCTGACAATTCGGTAAGCTAGAGGCTTGTTTATTTTACTATTGATGCATCAGTGGCGCTCGACTCAGAACCGCTGGAAGGCCAAATCAAATATGAAATTGAAATTCATTTTAAAAGAAAAGTGACTACTTGGCTGGTTATACCCTCGGGCTTTAGACTGTTTGTTTTAGGTACTATCTACGATCAATCTTTTTAAGTCGAACGCGTTATCTTTGTTGTTGAAAAATATCTAGTCGAAATCGTGAATGTCTTATTTAATTGCACTTATTTACCATTTGTATATTTTTTTAAATTATCACAACAATGGTTATTGTTGTCAGGATCTTTGGAGAATACTAGTACGTACCCTTTCAAAGTGTTAGTTTTTACTATGTTTTGTGAATGGTAAACCAATATACGACTAATGTACAGCTCTCATAGTGTCTATAAAACAGTTTCGTAGTAACTGCTTAAAATACTATGCAATATTTTTTGAATTATCCTTGTCATGTCACGATAAACTCACATCTCATTACGAAACAACTTATTACCACCACTCTCAATTTTATATGATCTGCGTTGTTTTTGTTTATAAAAAAATCAAGTACATTTATAAGCGAAGTGATTACAAGAATATTGAATTTGTCAATTTTTTACTCTTACATCCAAACGCCAATTCTTATTTATACAATATACCGGACGTGTTGTTTTATTCTGTTTTCCTAGATTTCGCAACTTAATAAATATTATTCTGGTTATAGCTATATAGAATTGTAAAACCTCACACTATTTTCACTTACTGTGGATTCATTATTATTCGTTTGATTCTAATTTTCGTGGGTTTCGTGGGTACAGATGAACCACAAATTCAAATGTTCAACGAATTACAAATTTTCTATAGGCCTTGTATGCAGAGATTGGCAAAACCACGAAATAAAATATCCACAAAAATGCAAGTTTTCCTCAATCCACGAAATTTGATACCCACGAAAATAAATGAATCCACAGTATCACTATCTAAGAGGCAACATTATTTCAGCGATGTTCAAATCTTGTAACTTCATTTTGTCTGAGTATAAATATTGGTAGAAGAAAACTAATAAAATCTCATGAAGCAGGAGAGACCAAGTGAAACGACGGGTTAAGCGGCTGTAGTAATGCATGCATTACCCGGAAAGCTAGTCAAAACCGAGTCAAAATATAAAATAAAGGAAAAGGACACATCCGATCGGTCAAATGGCTGTTCTTGTATCTGGTAATATGAGATCTAAAACCTCGATACTATGTTCCTTGTGAGACACAGGCGCACAACGTTTTATGGTGATCGTTAACCATATGTAGTGCAGATTATAATTATAGCTCTTCCTTATTAAATATCTGTAGAGTTTCGCGTTTGCAAGGACCACATTCCTATGAAATAAAAATTATGTTGACATAGACGTATAACGTAGAGTACCAGTTAATATGTATAAACGCCAAATGATGTCATTGATGAGAAAGATAGTTTATTTCTAATCAGAAGATGATAATGGGGAAAATGCAATATTCCCGTTAATTTGTATTGATCTTTTAACCAGAAAAAGATCCAGATGTGAAGCAATTTGCTAGTTCCGGTATTTTAATATTAAGGTGGTTCAAAACCATGGCTACTAAGATATTCTTTTTTCTTTTTTTTTATTTTCACACAATCATGTTGTTATCATTTTATGCTTGGCCCATTAAATGCAAAGAAACAGGGAGTCATCGGGCTCGTTTTTCATCGAAAGTTCGTGATTATTTACCTATATTGTAAGGTAAAATAAGGGGATGAGGGGGTGGTCACCAGATTTTAAAAAGTTAGGGGCTTTTGTTTCAACCCTCTATTACATAAGGTCTGATTACAATGATCTGTATTTTTTATTTGAATTTTTTATTGTGATGATCGTAATTCTTGGCTAGAGAAGATGCTGAAGATACAGTTGTTTAACATGTAAATATTTTGTTGTGACGAAGCGAATTAATTTTTTTGTTGTTGGTGAAATACGGTTATTTTGTCAGGCGAGTTCTTTCGCTTGAATGTTGATCATATATTACACAACAGATGAGTGAGCAGATTTCAACCAGGACGGACGTGTTTTCCTGTGCTCCTACAGATTACATATAAGTACAATGTATCTCTTATATTTAACACTTTTTTTTTTTTTTTTTCTTTTTTTTTTATAGTCCGATTGATTCTTTGGAAATAAATGTAATTATCTATTGGATTTAATACGAAATACGAAATAAATAAGTTATAATGATATATCATAACAAATTTTGACTTTTATCGTCGGTGAGCTTTAGTCACTGTATATCCCGGTTATTGCCATTTTAAGTCACATTAGTTGTGACAAGGGCAAAATTTGGAAATGGCTAATGCGAATGCTGAAGCTAACCAAGATCAAGAATCGGTTATATCTGAAAATGATGTTGTATTTCGAAAATATATGGAAAATGATACCACAATAACAAGAAATAACACTTTTGTCATATATGTTGATGAATCTAATAATGATTTCCAGAGGGAAACTGCAGAGCAATTAAATACAAGAGATGTCTTGTTCACACTTCAATCTTCTGTTAACATTACAGACCTCATTATATGCTTTCAAAAATCAGGAAAAAGTAGCTACCTCGCAACATGTCGGGACGAACATTCTTTAGAAACTTTCCTAAATGAATTTCAAACCTTTGTAGTTAATGACATTACATTTAGATCAAGGCGTGCTGAACCTCTAAACCTAGATCAGAAAGATTACATTGATGTGATTGTTTTCGGCCTCCCGTTTGAAATAAAACCAATGGCGGTTAGGAAAAAATTTGAGATTTATTGAGAAATTCAAAAACTAATCTCTCCGACATTCAAAGAGTTCCCTAACATACAATCGGGAGTAAGGATTGTGCGAATGAACAAACTATACAGACAAATCCCCAAAAAACTGTATATTAAAGGCCAATCCGTCTCAATAAAATATGAAGGTCAACCACAAGGTAAAAAGTGTTATTCTTGTGGTGATCACGGTCATATCTCAAAAGATTGTCCGCAAAATTCCCAGTCCCAGATTTTAATCCAGTTCCTTGCTTGAAATGCGGGAAACGAGACCACATGGAACTTCAATGTGGAAATCAAACCGTGCTAGAGAACAAAGACAAAGATGAAAATAAAGTGGAAGACAAAATTTCCGATTCAGTGTTTCAACAAAATCCTAATATTCTAAATTCTTTTGCAAAATTTGGAAATGGGTTTAACTTTGATTTCACATTAAGTGAAAAGGCGCCAATTTCGGGAAAATCTTCCAAAACAGATGTTCCTTCAGAGGGTCTAGATAAAACACAAGGAATTAATAGGGATAAATCAAAAAGCACACCGACGTTAAAAGCTAGCAAGGGCGAGAAACATGCAAAGTCAGGTGATGAGATTATAGCCCATATGTCGTCATCGAACAAACCATATTCTGATGCTGTCAAAGATGGTTGCGACATAGCAAGTGATAAAACCCCCCTACCAAAACGTAAATCATTTAGTGCGAAGAGAGTTGATAAAAATAAAGAAAAAGACAAAACAATAATTCCAGAAAGAGAAAAGGACCAGGAAAAAAAGAGAAACAGAGATAGACTAAGCATTGAGAGTTCTGTTCAAACAGGGAAAGATCAAAAACTGGCAAAGACTCAGACGCAAAAAAGCAGTATACTAGTCCTGCAAATCCAAAACCCCCTCCCATATAACTATTAAAATGTCTAATCATAACAATCACTCTCATATATTGATTTTTTGTTTACTCTATTTTTTCATATATAATTACATTAATATGCTACTCTTTACATTGAACATTAGAAATAGTTTTGAAAACAAAATTTATGAAATAATAGATGACAATAGAAATATAGACATTATCTGTTTACAAGAAGTTGGTTATATGTCGCCAGATGTTATACATGATATAAAACAGAAATTTAATAAAAATGTAGACTTCTCAAATGGTGTTAGTAGATCTACAGGTGTCATAACAATAATTAGTAAAGATTTAAAACTGTTTAAATCTCATAGGGTTCCAACACCGCTAAAAGGTAGACTCATCCATAAAAGTTACTTTTATAATGATACTGTCATAAATCTTCTAAACCTTTATGCACCACAATGTGGTTTGAGGGAGGAACAACGATTATTCTATGACATTCTGCTAAACTATGTCTCCAATCTAGAACAATATAGTACAAAAAATAAGTATATATTGACTGGAGATTTTTATTTCATAGAAGACAAAATAGATTCAAATAACATGAATTGCAGACTTAACAAATATATACTTGATAAATTTAAAAGTATTAAAGATGCTTTAAGAATTAAAGATGTTTTTAGAGAACTACATAACGACATGGCAGATTTTACGTGCTACAACATCTCTGGTACTCGTACTAGAATTGACAGGTTCTATGCAGATAATGAATTTATTAATAAAGTTAAAGAAATTAAACATATTCCGTATAAAAGTCAGATCATAAAATTGTTCAGATTAACATACAATATAAGCGGCAAAAATGGGGTCGTGGTTTTTGGAAAATGAATAATAGCTTACTTGAAAATGAAAACTATACCATATTAATATCAAATATTATCAAACAATGGAGAGAAGATAAACTGAAATATGACCCTCTAAAAGGTTGGGATATCCTAAAAAAACAAATAAAAGAAACAACAATTATTTTCTCAAGGGTCCAAACAAAAATAAGTAAATCTAAGTTGAATAAGTTATATGACTCACTAATAGTTGAAGAAGCTAAACCCTCTCAAAATTCCACTATAATAAATACAATTAAGGACGAAATAATAGCAATTGAAACAAAAGAGAAAACGGGAACATTAATCAGATCACGAGAGTGTTTTTATAAAGAAGATATCGAAAATATTGAAATCTTTAAAATAGCAGAAGAAAAAAGAGGCACAAAGAAGGAAATAAAATCACTATTTGATAAAAACAATAAACCCACTGACGAAAAAAATTCAATAATACAAATAATTCTAGATTTCTATGCCGAGCTACATACTTCTGACTTCTTCATGGCACAATAGGCACTCCTTCCTTATTTGCACTTGTGTCCTTCTGATACAGTTTTTGTATTATTGTGTTTTAATATTTGTATATTTTGTAAGACCACATATCTAAAAATACAGCTGTTTCTGATGTTTTTAATTAACTAATTCCAATTAGAATTGAATTCGCCGGAATAATTGATGAAATCTGCATGATTCTTACAATAATATTCAGTACTTACTTGCTATGCATACATGTAGTCTTCGAAAACATCCCATATTTCCAATTTAAAAGTACAGTATTTTTCTTATCGTTAAAAAAGCGCTGTATCATTGACCAATTGCAAATGTAAATCATATAAAAAAGCATATTCTGGCGGGAATTTATATTAAAATGATGTATAAATCACATTGTATATTGTGTATTCATTATCAAACAACCGTTCTTACAAATTGAAACTGCGTACATGTATATAATCTAAATCTGCATAAGATGATAATGCGTATTGTAGTGTAGTGAAATTAACTTTAAAAAATCCTATTTCTACGGCTCCAAATAATTACTTAATAATAGTGTCTTCTTCGTTGCCTTGCTCTGTAAATCTAATGGGTGGAATAGGTTTAAATTCACTTATTTCTCTAGTTTTTAGTTTCTTCAGAGTATCTTTCTGTTTGGATGTGATTTTCATTTTGAATATAAAATAACGTCACAATTTAATCATACATTTGTTTTATTGCACTGTGTACAGACTCCGAATACTTGGTTCGTCATTTTTATAAAAAAGAATTATAAATTCTGTATGCCTTTAGTTTATACGAAAGAATTGTAAATTATGTAATCTTTTGTTGCATAAATACATAGAGGATATAAAGAACCTGTGTCGCTCATCTTGGTCTATATACATATTCAACAAAGGACACTCTCCAACATTGTAGACGAAATTAGAAATAATGATAAAAATCTGGTTTTGTTTTACCTGCTATTGCTGATCATTGAAGTCTGTTTAGTTTCTCTCTATCTCATTAAGTTTTTGCTCCAAACACAAAAGAGGGTAAAACAAATTCCTAATATAAGGGCAATAACTCCTATAAAGAGTAACAGTCTACTAATTATATCGGCAAAATTTGACTTGTTAGTAGGTCTTGTCTAGTTTGTCATTTTTGATCATTTATTAATAAGTTTCTATCTATCGATTATAATTTTTATCATATAAGGTAAAACGCCCAAAAAAAATGGTAAAAATCGTCATTTAATGGCAATAACTCCAATAAGGATTCTTCGTACAATTTGTCGTAATTGTAGATCTTGTCTTGCTGATCATTTTTGTAATTTAGGTTTCTTTCTATCTATTGTAAGTTTTATGATATCGGACAAAAACGCCAAAAAAAATTGAACAAATCGTCATCAAAGGGCAATAACTCTAATAAGGAGTCAACTGATAATTTCAACCATAAGATTTATTTGTAGAACTTGTCCTTTAGAAACAACAGACACGGCTTCCTCCGCCCCATTTTTAGACTTGTACCTCGAATTTGAAATACACGGTCGTCTCAGTACCAGAATCTATGACAAACGAGATGATTTTAATTTTAAAATAATCAATTTCCCCCACCTTAGTAGCAATATACCAACTTCACCTGCATATGGGATATACATTTCCCAACTTATTCGGTATTCAAGAGCATGCAGCTCCTACTCAGACTTTGTAAAACGTCACCAGTGTCTGAGCAGTTGATGAACCAGGGGTATGTCAAAGAACTTCTCGTCCTTTTTCTTAAAAATTTCATCGGAAGGTACCAAGACCTTGTTGATAAATATTCCGTATCAATTTCACAAATAATACACGATGGTCTTGAAGTATAGATTCTGGGTACTGACATTGTTTATCATCTTAATAACGTGTTTTAGTATTCTTTTATTTGTCTTTATGAGTATTAATCTTACTGTTTAGTATATTTTTGAAGATATTCATTTGACGTGACTCTGTACTTATACATCTCGTCATTGTGTTATTGTTCTATGATAATTTTTGTATTTCTGATTTTCATTTTTGCTAATGTGCTTTGTTTATATGCCTTTTTGTGCTTCTTTGTTACGTATTTGTTTGTTTTTTATAGTGATTAAGATTATAACACAATGTTGACTGCTGTATCCTTTTACTTGACATTTTCACCTATTATGTCTGTTTGTTTTGTTCACACATCGTTTTCAATATAATAGAATTTGATGCGACTGTCATACAAGTGAGAGGTTTAGCTAGCTATAAAACCAGGTTCAATCCACCATTTTCTACATAAGAAAATGTCTGTACCAAGTCAGGAATATGACAGTTGTTATCCATTCGTTTGATGAGTTTGAGTTTTTGATCTTGCCATTTGATTAGGGACTTACCGTGTTGAATTTTCCTCGGAGTTCAGTATTTTTGTGATTTTACTTTTTTCTGATCATTTTTGCATTTTAAAGTTTCTCTCTTTTTATTATAGTTTTCAAGATAATAGCCAAAAATTTAAAAAAAAGTGTTGAAATTTGCCGTTTTAATAAGGGCAATAACTCCTACAGGAAATCGTCTGACAGTTTTGACGTATATAGACAATTGGTAGAGCTCATCAACATTCTGAACAATTTTACCCATTCAGATAACCTCTATTTATAACGGTTATCAAAATAATAGACAAAACTTGCATTTTACCCTATATGTTCTATTCATAGCAACGTCGGCCATCTTTGTTGGCAAGTGAGGTCAACGGACACATTTTTTAAACTAAATATCCTAAGGATGATTGTGGCATAGTTTGATTCTATTTGGCCCAGTAGTTTCAGAGGAGAAGAATTTTGTAAAAGATTACAAAAATTTACGAATAATTATTAAAAATTGATTATAAAGGACAATAACTCCTTAAAGGGTCAATTGACAATTTTAGTCATGCTGACTTATTTGTAGATCTTACTTTGCTGAACATTATTGCTGTTCACAGCTTATCTCTATCTATAATAATATTCAAGATAATAACCAAAAACTGCAAAATTTCCTTAAAATTACCAATTCAGGAGCAGCAACCCAACAACAGGTTGTCTGATTCGTCTGAAAATTTCAGGGCAGATAGATCTTACTTTGTTGAACATTTCTACCAATGTCAAATTTGCTTTAAATGCTTTAGTTTCAGAGATATAAGCCTAAAACTGCATTTTACCCCTATATTCTATTTTTAGCCATGTCGGTCATGCTTGTTGGCAGGCAGGGTCATCGGATATATTTTTTTTAAACTAGATACCCTAATAATGACGATTTTTGTAAAAGATTAAAAAAAAATTACGAAAATTGTTAAAAAAATTACTATTGGGCCAGGTGAGCTAAAAAGGTAATGTAAAGTAAAAGCAAAAGTTTAAATGGAAAAACCTGTCGTAATGATACATGCATGACTCTTTCCTAATTTTGGATTTGTTTACTTTATTCCTGTACGACTAAAAATTGTATGTTCTAAATTTGTAAGTATTTATGGTTGTATAAAAACAAAATGGTATGTACCTACACAGACATATTTACAGGACATTTTGCATCAATGAAATGCTGTTTGTATTATGTTACGATATTTCAATATAACTTTCAAGTGTTTTCTGTTATGTTAAATATTTGACATGATAAAGAAATAAGGGCGAGTAGGGTCCGTGTATATTTGCGTTCATTCGTTTTTTGTTTTGAGATATCAAAAACAAAAAACGAAAAACGAAAGTGTTTTCATTTTTCGTGTTTGATTTCTCAAAAACCAAAATGAAAAACAAAAGTGTTTTCGTTTTTCGTCTTTGATTTCTCAAAAACCAAAACGGAAAACGAAAGTGTTTTCATTTTTCGTTTTTGATATCTCAAAAACCAAAATGAAAAACAAAAGTGTTTTCGTTTTTCGTTTTTGATTTCACTAAATAAGAAAAAAAATCGACTTTTGGAATCAATTTCTGTATTTTGTTCTATTTAATTCTCGTTTTACGTTGTACAATGTGTTCCTTTCCTTTTTCATATCCATTGATATTATAATATGCCAACGCAGTCCTTTTTCATCCCAGTAATTACCCCGGTGTTCTTATTACTTAATGAAAACAAAACAGACCACCTGACTTATGAATTGAACTAAGGTGATTAATGAATCAAAAACTTTCAAATTTCCTTGTTTTTATCTATAATAAAAAAATAAAATTATTATTTTCAAATATCAAATGAATCACAAATTTAAATAATATAATGAAATATTATATAAAGATTGTAAAAATAAAACGATTGATTACAACATCACATTAACAAGGGAAGTTACTACTTATCTGATAAGAAAACTAGCCCTGTCGTTGAAGTATGCACAGCGGTAATCAGATCAATAGTATTTAAATCGGAGATAATGTCGACGAATGGAAAAGACTTTATCAATCTGAACAATAAGGATGCATGATCTTTACTTTTAAGTTTGAAAGGTTGCTTATCTAAGATTATTAGACTGAGTGCATGATGACTGAGGCCAATCAGCCAATATTACACGAACATTCAAGACGGTAATATGTATACGCTATTTAGATTATTTAAAAAAAAGTTTACACTCCAAGTCGAGGTTTAGTAGGCCATCTTATGAGTTACCGGAAGCAGTCCAAAAGAAGATGTATATCACGATGCTCGGCACATTATTGTACTTCCAGCCTTACTTGATTTATATCAAAATATAAAATATGTGATAAGATTGCTACGACTTTTTTTTATTAAGTCGCAAATCACAAAACATAAGGTTGTGGGACTAATTGAGTTTGATCAGTTTCTTATTATTTTGCCTCAATAATTGGTGGTTTAATTTTGTTGGTTTTGACTTTGCGTGATGGCAATAAAGATATTTTGATAATCATTCGTAATCGTGAACTTGTTGGACCATTTTTTTTTTCAAGCAGTAAAGCATCGATACTTAATTGTTGGCAGCATGTTGGGTCAACAACAGAAATAGCCAAAAGCACAGGCACTTGAGAAACATGTGGCTTTCCTCCATTTTTAGGAAAAGGGGGTGGGGTCTTTGAAAGCGACGAGGTCAATTTTCCATGGACTTATTTCACTCATAGGGTCAAAATCTAAAATTGGTCTGCAGATTGAAAATTGAAGATGACGTTCTATATTGTGTAAAAGTTTTACATATTCCCCTGAAATCAAAATACTATTCAGTGCTATATGTTTCTGTTGAAGTCATTTAATACAAAATTGCAAAGGGTTAGAGCCTAATTCTCAATAACTTTTTTTCACTCACAGGGTCTAAAATGTGTTTTTCATATCTTTATCATACTTGAAATGTAATATTAAAAAGTTGAAATTATATGTTTAAAATATTTTTTTGTAATTTTAGTTCATGAGACAAAAACGCAATACAAAATTTGAACAAATCGTCATCAAAGGGCAATAACTCTAATAAGGAGTCAACTGATGATTTCAACCATAAGATTTATTTGTAGAACTTGTCCTTTAGAAACAACAGACACGGCTTCCTCCGCCCCACTTTTAGACTTGTACCTCGAATTTGAAATACACGGTCGTCTCAGTACCAGAATCTATGACAAACGAGATGATTTTAATTTGAAATAATCAATTTCCCCTACCTTAGTAGCAATATACCAACTTCACCTGCATATGGGATATACATTTCCCAACTTATTCGGTATTCAAGAGCTTGCAGCTCCTACTCAGACTTTGTAAAACGTCACCAGTGTCTGAGCAGTTGATGAACCAGGGGTATGTCAAAGAACTTCCCGTCCTTTTTCTTAAAAAGTTCATCGGAAGGTACCAAGACCTTGTTGATAAATATTCCGTATCAATTTCACAAATAATACACGATGGTCTTGAAGTATAGATTCTGGGTACTGACGTTGTTTATCATCTTAATAACGTGTTATAGTATTCTTTTATTTGTCTTGATGAATATTACTCTTACTGTTTAGTATGTTTTTGAAGATATTCATTTGACGTGACTCTGTACTTATACATCTCGTCATTGTGTTATTGTTCTATGATAATTTTTGTATTTTTGTCTTTCATTTTGCTAATGTGCTTTATTTATATGCCTTTTTGTGTTTCTTTGATACATATGACGTGGCTCTGTACTTATACATCCCATCATTGTGTTATTGTGCTATGGTAAATTTTTGTATTCTTGTTTTTCATTTTTGCTAATGTGCTTTGTTTGTATGCCTTTTTTTGCTTCTTTGTTGCGTATTTATAGTGATTAAGATTATAACACAATGTTGACTGCTGTATCCTTTTACTTGACATTTTTACCTATTATGTCTGTTTGTTTTGTTCACACATCGTTGTCAATATAATAGAATTTGATGCGACTGTCATACAAGTGAGAGGTTTAGCTAGCTATAAAACCAGGTTCAATCCACCATTTTCTACATAAGAAAATGTCTGTACCAAGTCAGGAATATGACAGTTGTTATCCATTTGTTTGATGTGTTTGAGTTTTTGATCTTGCCATTTGATTAGGGACTTACCGTGTTGAATTTTCCTCGGAGTTCAGTATTTTTGTGATTTTACTTTTTTCTGATCATTTTTGCATTTTAAAGTTTCTCTCTTTTTATTATAGTTTTCAAGATAATAGCCAAAAATTAAAGTGGTGAAATTTGCCGTTTAAGGGCAATAACTCCTACAGGAAATCGTCTGACAGTTTTGACGTATATAGACAATTGGTAGAGCTCAACATTCTGAACAATTTTACCCATTCAGATAACCTCTATTTATAACGGTTATCAAAATAATAGACAAAACTTGCATTTTACCCTATATGTTCTATTCATAGCAACGTCGGCCATCTTTGTTGGCAAGTGAGGTCAACGGACACATTTTTTAAACTAAATATCCTAAGGATGATTGTGGCATAGTTTGATTCTATTTGGCCCAGTAGTTTCAGAGTAGAAGAATTTTGTAAAAGTTTACAAAAAATTACGAAAAATTATTATAAATTGACTATAAAGGACAATTACTCCTTAAAGGGTCAATTGACAATTTTAGTCATGCTGACTTATTTGTAGATCTTACTTTGCTGAACATTATTGCTGTTCACAGCTTATCTCTATCTAAAATAATATTCAAGATAATAACCAAAAACTGCAAAATTTCATTAAAATTACCGATTCAGGGGCAGCAACCCAACAACAGGTTGTCTAATTCGTCTGAAAATTTCAGGGCAGATAGATCTTACTTTGATGAACATTTCTACCAATGTCAAATTTGCTCTAAATGCTTTAGTTTCAGAGATATAAGCCTAAAACTGCATTTTACCCCTATAATCTATTTTTAGCCATGTCGGTCATGCTTGTTGGCAGGCAGGGTCATCGGATATATTTTTTTTAAACTAGATACCCTAATAATGATTGTGGCCAAGTTTGGATGAATTTGTCTATTTGGTTTCAGAGGAGACGATTTTTGTGAAAGATTAAAAAAAAATTACGAAAATTGTTAAAAAATTACTATTGGGCCAGGTGAGCTAAAAAGGTAATGTAAAGTAAAAGCAAAAGTTTAAATGGAAAAACCTGTCGTAATGATACATGCATGACTCTTTCCTAATTTTGGATTTGTTTACTTTATTCCTGTACGACTAAAAATTGTATGTTCTAAATTTGTAAGTATTTATGGTTGTATAAAAACAAAATGGTATGTACCTACACAGACATATTTACAGGACATTTTGCATCAATGAAATGCTGTTTGTATTATGTTACGATATTTCAATATAACTTTCAAGTGTTTTCTGTTATGTTAAATATTTGACATGATAAAGAAATAAGGGCGAGTAGGGTCCGTGTATATTTGCGTTCATTCGTTTTTCGTTTTGAGATATCAAAAACAAAAAACGAAAAACGAAAGTGTTTTCATTTTTCGTGTTTGATTTCTCAAAAGCCAAAATGAAAAACAAAAGTGTTTTCGTTTTTCGTCTTTGATTTCTCAAAAACCAAAACGGAAAACGAAAGTGTTTTCATTTTTCGTTTTTGATATCTCAAAAACCAAAATGAAAAACAAAAGTGTTTTCGTTTTTCGTTTTTGATTTCACTAAATAAGAAAAAATATCGACATTTGGAATCAATTTCTGTATTTTGTTCTATTTAATTCTCATTTTACGTTGTACAATGTGTTCCTTTCCTTTTTCATAGCCATTGATATTATAATATGCCAACGTAGTCCGTTTTCATCCCAGTAATTACCCCGGTGTTCTTATTACTTAATGAAGACAAAATAGACCGCCTGACTTATGAATTGAAGGTGATTAATGAATCGAAGACTTTCAAATTTCCTTGTTTTTATCTATAATAAAAAAATAAAATTATTATATTTAAATATCAAATGAATCACAAATTTAAATAATATAATGAAATATTATATAAAGATGGTAAAAATTTATCGATTGATTACAACATCACATTAACAAGGGAAGTTACTACTTATCTGCTAAGAAAACTAGCCCTGTCGTTGAAGT